TTAGTCATCATGACATCTAACCACAACATTTTGGGCCATTTGTTTGCAGCACTACAAACCAGCACAGCTTCAAAACAAAACCAAAAATTGCCTTTTAAATCACAATCACAATTTTTATTAGAGAAATCACAATAAGAAATTTACCCCAAATCGTGAAGGAAAAATGAAAAGAGTCACCATTTACTTATCCTCATGTTTGACCAAATCAGTATGATGTTTTTTTTATTGTTTTGGAACCAAATGACTTTCATTGTATTAAACATTCATCACAAATATCTTCTGCTTTCCTCAAAACAAAACAAAAAGTCATATTGGTTTACAACAACATGATGGTGAGTAAAAGATGACCGGATATTTATTTTTAATTTTATAACTATCCCTTTCAAAATGAAGGTGTCAACAGTTAAGGATGACTTAGTACAGCACAAATAAAAAGCACATAAGCCCAAAATGATGCTCCCTGACTAAGGAAATTCCTAAGAATAACCAACCACACAAGTTCTAATGATCTGCCCATCAAGATGAGCAAGTCTTGCCATGCTGTCACCTCACTATGGAATGCCAATGCTTTCTTTATTTACTCTTTCATTTTGGATACAGTACACGGCCACGCCCTTTAGTCATTGATAATTTCAGATTTAGTTGTATACCTTATTGATTATCTTGTGTTTTAGGGTTTAAAGTGAGAGTAAAATCTCATTTGACTCACCCGTTGATGATCCTTTCACTGGATGAATGAGTTTCACAATGAAATGCTAAAGGACTCTAGCTTTTCTCATCCCTTCCGACAAGACTATACTCGCTCAAACCCACATGATAACATGTGCAGCACCCCTCTCCCTGTCCTAATCTGATTATAAGGCTTTATCAGTCTGGACTAGCATCAATATATCTGCATACTGTCCAACACACTCACACACACACATAGACACATATGCAGAGCGGGAGAAAATGTTCATTGAAGCAATAACCTTCAATCAGTCTGATAGGTTTGGCGTATGACAGAAAGACCACGAAAGCAAAGATTTATTATTTTTTGTTTGGTTACTGATACTACCTACCACATTACGACCCAGTTCTCCTTTTTATCAGGGAGAACAAGAATAGTTAGGAGGCAGACACACCCTGCCTGCTTCAGGCATGGGAAGCGTCAAGTAATGCTACATTTGACACCACATTCATCTCACCTGTCTCATGACCTGCATTTGTCTACTCCATGTCCACTGGTGTAAAACATGTCAATGGCATGTCTATGCATTTGAGAAAAACAAGGCTAAGCTATATGGAAAGGTCAGAACTTTCTCTATACTCCCATGTCATTCCAAATCTAAAGGACTGGATCTGAATTATAAATGTGTTACACTTTCTGTGCAATTACAATGAATGGGGACTGGGAAAAGGAAGCAATACTATATTATAAGTCTTCTGAAGATAGCTTTTGGGTGAGAAACAGACTTAAATAAGTTAAACTGATAGTCTAAGAATAACGAGAAGAATACAATCAGTCTAGTTTGTGAATTGCATCAATGGTGACTCAATAAGGTCAGAATTAAAAAAAATATATATATAGCGCAAAAGTCATATGAAACAATTTTATGGTATGTTTAAGGCACGTTTACACCAAGATAACTGCAAAGATAACTATACCGATAATATTAGCGGCGCCCACACGCTAATAGTGCATGCTGAGTCATCTGCCGCTTTAAATGCTCGAGTTCTTTAGAGTAGGATCGATTCTGATTGGCTGTTGTTGTTGTTGTTATCGTTCATCAGCTGGAAAAAAATCGTTCTGAAAGTGATTCCAATGATATCGTTCCACTGTGGCCTTATTATCGTTATAGTTGTAGTCTGGACTCTGCTGATCTTTTACATTTAGAGTGATTTTTAGAACTATATCTTTAGCGTTATAGTTATTACTCTGGGTGTGAACATGCCTTTATGGTGTTTTATTAGTCATTTTGGAGCAGCCAGTATATTTCCCAAAAAATGACTATTTTCCACAGAATATGGGATTAATAATTACAGATCTTTACTTTTTGTTGGTAATTTTTCATAGAATTCAGGGAATTATGACTTATGACTTTAATACAAAAGCACATTCAAGCAAAGGCAAAACACCATTAAACACTTAGTACATGAATGCATTTGTGTGGTATGAGAGTGAGATCATTGAGAAGAGGGGTGGGAAGTGAGATTTAGTCTTAATTTACGGCAGTCATGGCTTAGGAGGCACCCAGTGAGGCATTAAAGTTCCTTGTGCGTGTCTTGTGATAAGGAAAACTCTCATTATGTGTGGAGGAGTGCATTCCAGCACAGACGTGTTGACGTCTTAAAGCAAAGCAATTGTTTAGAGAAGCGAAAGTGCAGGGCATAGAACTTCTAACAAACTTTTATCGAGAATTACAAATTCAGTGACGTTCTTTTTCTGGCAAGCTTCTTTTATCTGTTATAAATTATGATGCCAACTGCAGCACACTGCAAACGTGTGGTGGACTTTAGACATTATATTACAGTATGAGAAACGAGTCCCTTACAGACCTAAAGGTAATCAATTTTACAGGGCATTAATGTGCTTCTGTACTCCGAGGACCCCTGCTGTCAAAGACAGTGTTTCGAAGGCCCCCCATGTAGGCTAAGATACTTTAATTCTGGTGCTTTGGCTTTAATAATGACAAAGCTGCTTGTTTTCAAACGTTATGCAGATTAACGTAATTAACCTTGATTATATTCGTCGTTTTAGAAGCGTCAAGAAGTGTATGTTCACAGACTTTTTGATCAATGAATTTCCATGACTCCAGTTGTTAGTGATTATAGGATAAGGATTTTAATCATTTAAACCTTATAATGAATTATAACATCAAAGAATATCATTTTACAGACATTGTATTTATCTCAGAAGATATTTTAGAGCTCAGTATAACTAAATATATATATATATATATATATATATATATATTGTAGAATATTTCATGACATTTTAATATTTTCCAGGCCTTCAGATCACATTTTTAAAATTCTCTAATATTTCCTGAGAAAAAAACTAGGGTAGTTTTAACTAGGGTAGTGAAACAAATAAATATATTCACTTTAGATAAATAAAGTTTACTGGTCTCCCACAGTGTGGTCAAGCTGGTTTTAAAAGAGCTGACCAACTAGCTAAACATCAGCTTGGCCAGACTGTGAGACCAGCTAAACCAGTTAATAACAGCAGACCATTGTAACCTGGTTTAAGTCATTTGTCCCACTATTTGCAGCAGTGTTGCTGATGACCCATAGTGTGCCCTGGGTCCCTGGCTGAGAAACAGATTTATAAAACACTGAGTGAAATATTTGTTTCTTTCCATACCGGCGTTAGCAGAAAAAAATATCCCTTTTGGTTCCACCACAAAGAAAACCTTTCAAGCAATACAGATCAAAACAAATATTTCAGGTTTAAGAGCGGGCTGCTGGAATGAATGAAGGCGATTACAGAGTTCTTTTTTTCCACAGAAGAAAAAAGCTCTCGTTTATTTGTGAGTTTAATTAACTCAGTCTCTCTATAAAGCTCTTTAAGAAGCACCTCGCCACCCCAACCAACCCCCTCCTCGTCTTCTCCGATCTCCCTACAAGCTTTGCGCGCTCGAACACCCCCCACATCACTATGGCAACAAGTGGGATAGTAACGCATACACAATACCCCCCTCCTCCCTTCATCTTCCTTTTTGAACCCAACGGCACTGGCAACATGATAAAGTGCTGCCAAACTCATGAACGCACATTTTAAATTCACGTGACATACATATAGTGTAATTTTAACAATAATAAAAAGAACATACATATCTCCCTTCTTAATAAACCCCAAAATGATGTGTTATTTAGACGCGGAATCTTACCTTTATCATACTTCTTGAGTGGTGTCTTGGCCGGGTGTCACAACAGTTGAGCGGCTTCGATCGAATCGTCAGCCGCTGCTAACTCCTCCGACAGTCCAATGTCCGACGAATTACGCATATTAACTTAGCGGAAATCGTTAAACAGACCAGTGATAAATGCGAAAGTACAAAGCGAACAAAAACCAGCCAATATTTCGTCTGGTGCGTGATTCACACGAACAAACACCCCGTAGTCACAGATCTACCGGGACGGAAAACTTTCCATTAAGTGTGTGGCTCGAGCACTCCTTCGGGCAATTTAACAACACATGACCGAAACCAACCGGACACGAAGCAGATTTGCGGGTCCAAACAGCCTCCGTTGAAATTTTAAAGCTGGTTCGCTGCGGTGGAAAAGCTCAGCCAGAGAGCCATGACTCCAGGCAGCGTCGCGACAGGACAGCATCAGTGCACTTGTTGCGCTGATTGCTTTTGCTTCGGGGCGGAGAAACAGGGCGGTTTGTATAGTTGCCCACGGGACGCTAGCCAAAATCACCAGAGCGATATCAATATGCTTGATATCACAGTGTCCTGTAATTATTTTTTGTTTTAACATTTAGAAAATCTAGAAATCTCTTCTGACTATCACGACCGCAGACTTGTTTCAGACATTAAATCAAATACATCATGCGTATGTTCTGTCCTGCCTGCCTTGTAAACATAAGTAAAAAGGGTTTTTAGATTTTCGTTACAAACATCTTACTGCTGCTTGTCATCGCAAAATCGCCAGATTGGATGCCATGATGTGTGTTATGGATGTTAAATAGTGTTGAGTGGTTTTAGCTCATAGCTCAGTGCTAAGTGTTTGCTAGTTAGTTAACGTTAATTAACTGGCCATTCCTATCGCCTCCTACCTCATTGTACGGCTAAAATGATTGTAACACAGTGGGATAAGCACAAATGTTAGCAAAAGGGTAACATTCAAATTCTCCAATGAGCCTGCATATTATTTACACATTTGGCAGATGTTTATCCAAATTTATCCCACAAGCAGTCAACCCCATGCATGACCTTGAAAGCCTCAACATGAACAATTCCTGTTTTTTTGTATGGAATATATTGCAGTGTTTATAAGAACAAATATTGACATTGACACAGGTTTTGAACTTTATTGAAACAACAATGTTCTGAATTAAGCTAAATAATACACTATTATCTGCTGTAGGGCTGCTTATTGGAATTGAACTCATGTCACAATTTACATTTAGCCTACAGTACATTTATACAGTAGGCCTACATTTATAATTTATGACCGGTGCAACACTGACATTTATTAAACCAAATTGAAACAATTAAATTGAGCTGAATAATGACAATGCTTTACAGCTGAAATTGAATTAATTTCATAACAGATTAATTTTACAGCACTAATTATCCTGCTAGTTAATGTCAAGCTGCTTTGAAACAATCTGTATTGTGTAAAGCACTATACATAAATGTGATTTGACTTGAATGTGACTTATTATAAAATATCCATAATCATTTTTTTAGATTCCAAATAATTCATCCTAAATATTAAGTTCACTCCCCAATCTCTTCTCTGATGGTGTGTCAGCGTGAGGGTGCATGGGACAAAAATCCCTCTTCTCCAGCAACCTTCCACTCACATGAGAGCAACCAACCCAATCAGTTCCCAATTGAGAAAATCAAGTCCTGTCTTTCATTGTTTTTCTTGTCAGAGAAGACGTTTAAATCAAATAAACGTCACAATAGGGAAAAATGACAATCACAAATTCCATTTCATGCCGATTTTAAGCTTTTGTTCATCTTGGATCTAAGAAGCACAGAGGATGATTTACAATTATATTGAAAATTATAACACCATTTAGTGGATTTTAAATATTTTCTTTTGAAGCATGCTTTTGCACCACTGTATTCCTCTTCGGGGCAGCATCTTTAGGTTGCAAAAAGAAGAAATCCAGAAAAAACAGTGTCGTCGTCTTCATCTGCATATAACCCATTAAATAGCTGTTTATCAGCCACTTGCAACCACACTTTATCTCCGACCTCCAGTTCTAGGACTGCCCCTCCGGAAGCCTGGTCTTCACCTGTTTGGTAGCTGTCCATAGTGTAGATCACTTTCTGACCATTCTTCACCAGGGCCACTTTGACATTGCGAGAGAAGACAGTGATATGGTAGGAGAAAAAATATGCTCCGCTGATGGCACAAGTAAAGCGGCCGGTCTCAGGGTTGTAGTGACCCTGACGGTTATAGAGGATTTTATCAAAGCGAATTGGAGCATTATTAGGAGGTAACTTGTTGCTTTCGCTCAGTCTAGCTGAGAAAGCACTTTTTGGTATCTCAGGCATGTCCCCCTTTGGACCTTGCTCCCCGATATCCCCTTTTGACCCTTTCTCACCACGAACACCAATGCTGCCTTTGATACCTGGTTGGCCGATCTCACCTTTTGGTCCTGGTCGCCCTGGGGGCCCCAAAGGACCCTGTATGCCCTTGTCTCCCCTAGAGCCAATGTCTCCTTGTGGTCCTTCAGGGCCTATAGGACCCACGTCCCCTTTGATGCCCTGTGGTCCTGTTAAACCAAGTTCTCCCTTCTGGCCTTTCAAGCCCAGTGGCCCTGAGAAGCCTTGAGGCCCCATTTTGCCAGGTGGGCCCCTTTCTCCATTGTCTCCTCGCTTCCCCTTCACTCCAGCTATGCCAGGAACACCTGAAAAAGCACCAATCTCATGAGAAGTAGTCATATGAAATTAATATTGACTCTATTCTATTCAACTGAATTGTATCCATACATGTTTAATTATATGCATACAGTTAAACCTTATAAAATGTACTTTAAGGGGCAGGCAAGAAAATATATTTGCAATCTTATATCTTAATTTGCAATTTTGGAAAAAAAAAAAATATATATATATATTTTGGACAATACAAATAAATGTATAATAAATGACCAATAAATATATGAGGAAATATAACTACCTGGAACTTATCAAAATATATTTATGTAAATATATTTTAGATTTTAATAATCAAAATATGCATTTTGTGTATGCATATTATGTATTTATGTTTTTTTTTTTTGTTGTTGTTGTTGTTTTTTTGCCATATGGGAGGACTTAGAAAAGGACCACACAATATTTACCATGTTCTCCTTTATCTCCTTTTGGTCCGACTTTTCCAGCTTCTCCACATGTTCCTATATCACCTTTAGAAAATATAAACAGTTGTATTTTGTGTATGTATTGCGTGAAACACATTACATGTAAGGAAGTCAAAATTATATCAATCTGATCAACAACGCTAGTGTCTCAGACTTTAACATTTTAATGTCAAACAGTATGGCAAACATCTTTCCAAAGAATTTTTTTACAATGTTTAATTTGTGTACCTATCTGACATCATACCTTAGCTTAAAGGTGACTGATTAACTGGAGTCAAGACATTTTTGCTTTCATTCTTACCTCTATCTCCTTTATCACCTTTGGCCCCATCTCTGCCATCCCGACCCGGCATTCCATTGTGTCCTGGATCTCCAGGGATCCCAGGGTGACCGTTCACACAGCCAGAATTTTTGTCAGGAACATTCTGCTCTGCAGAATTGAACAATACAACTAGAAAAAGCATAAAAATCTGTCTGGGAAAGAGCATGTTCCTCTCACGCACATGCGCAGCAAGAGTCCAAGAACGCTCGCTGTGTTTGAGGAGGCACAAAACATAGAATGTGCACAAAGATCTAACGATTTTTCAGACTTGACTTTGCAAACCTGCCATTTCATTGGTCAGAATGTCGTTGTTTAGATTACTTATTTTACCCAAATATGTTACACATCACCTGTGTCCTCAATTGTAATTCATTTTTATATTTTAGTTTAGATAATGATCAACCTGAAACATGCTATTGCACAATCCATATTAGCATAGAGTTTTGCCAAAAGCTACTTATATTCATTATATTGTGGAGTAAAGCTAATATTAAACTAAGCCATCATGAAAGTCAGTCTGTCAATTCCCTGAGAGCTTGGATGTTATGTGACCCAAGTATCTTGTGCTTTAATTTACCATGATTGATTTAGTTGCTTTATAAATGTTACTGAACAGTCATAAAGTTAGTCTAAAGAGCATCATGCAATTCATTGCTTAATGAACATGCCCCCATTCAGCTCCACATGGGTGTTACTCTATCTTGATTACATTTCCAGTTCAGTGACACTGCAAATGCAACCCAACGCTTGACCTTATGGATAATGCTTTTCCATTTGGCTTTAAGCTTTATAAATATGTCTCTCTTCCTCCCACTCTTAAACATAAAGGTTTCAATTAGAGCTAAAAGGTTTCTACAGCCATATAAGAAAACTTATAACAGAGCCACAACAAGCAGAAATATAAACAGGCTAGGTATTAAATTGTGAAGGCGAAATCCAACTGAACCTTTTTTTTAATTTTATTTTAAAAACGTTTTATTCTTAAGGTGCTGTCACATTTACTGTCGCTCAGTGAAAGTTTGTGGGCAAAATTTTCAATAGGAAGCTTGAACTTTTATCCCACAAATAATTTTTTTCCACCCACAATTGTACGTCCGAAATGCGAGTTATAAACTCACAATTAAAATAATTTCGCAATTGCGCGAAGAAAATTCTGAATTGTGGGAAACTTATAAGGTAGTCGCAAATGCGATAAAAAATGTATAACTCGCAATTCTGACTTTATAACTCGCAATTGCGTGTTTATATCTCGCAATTCTGAGAAACTTTTTGCAATTTTTAATTTGGTGGCGGAAACAAGCTTCCATTAGATTGTGTTTCGCATGTTGGGCAAAAAAAGTTTCCCAAACAGATTTCGCTCTTGTTCAAGTTGGTCACACAAACTCGCCACATTTATGAACAGAAATTTGCTTGATTTGAAAGTGACGTTATGCCCGCGAAATTGACCACACCTTAATTCTTTATAAAACCACATTTTATTGATTTTAATAAACTAGAAACCAATCTCCTGATCATAAAAAATGATAATGTAACATCAAGAACATTTTAGATCTGTAGAGACAGCCTATAATCAAACTAAATAACTATCGTAAAAACTATAGATATATTTAACATTTTTTACAAAATTCATTAGTTTTAAAACTTATGCAACCTGAAATATTATTTTAATGAAGACAAGAATGCATTTACCAATCATGTTAAGGTACCAATTTATTAAACATTTTGATCAAACATGGTCACAAAAACCAAACTTATGAAACTGACATGGAATGTTCACATACAACAATGGACGACACAAACAAATATTTATACATTTATCGACTATTATTAATCTGCATACAGTACTTCTGGTTAGTATGTGAATTGACATTCTTAATTGTTCTCGTTTTTTTCCATTTTTCCAACAGCAAAAGGGCAGATCACAATATCAACAGGTGCAATACAGTATCTGCAAGAGCAAACATTTGTCCTTTTACTTTTCATTCGAACACTATGTAAACTGTTACAGTTGCTGTCTGTTATTTGGTTTATCAACACACTGTTTGCTCATACAGAATAAGGCAGTTGTTTTGACTTGCTTAGATAAAACTTTAAGAATCACTATCACTATTTGCATACATTAAATAAATACATCTTATCACAGGCTGAGCAAACCAAAAATAAAATAAATATATCTAGCATGCTCTAATGTCTTAAAACCCCTTCTCATCTTCATCTGCCACCATCAAAGAACACTGCTTGGTAAGGGCTGAGGTGAGGGGGGAGGGGGGTGTTAAGGTTTTTTGGGTGTTTATGCAGGTTGCTTGGCACTCGTATACCTTCACATAATCTGCCGATGCATGCCATAACCAGTCATGCCAGACTGAGATGCCCCACGGTTACTGCCCATCTGTAAGCCAATCAGATTCTGACCCTGCCGCATCTGCTCCTCAGAAAACTCTCGACGGTTGCCTTGAGATTTCCTGTCAGACGAGATCAAAAAGAGTTCACATGACACTGAGACACAACAAAGTCCATTTACAAGCCCAACCAGACAGGACTTAACACACCATTATGAATTAGTCTGGCAGAAATCTTCCTCACCTGTGAAACCAGTCCCGGTTACCTCGGTAATGTCCATCGTCTTTTGTGACAGCCACGCTACCCAGCGACATTAGAGTTCTCTGGACGGCTGCCATGTCTTTTCCTTTAACCAAGGGAACCAACAAGCACTGAAGTTTGGCTACACACCAAGAACGCAACTTGCATACTACAGTACATCACCCCAGAATGCATTCAAAGGCCTGGTTGATTAAAAGCAATCCCTTCGAAACAATTTAAAACTCCTATATTAATTTGCTACAGCCGCATGCTTTTACAAGCTAATTCCGAAGATCAAGACGTGCTGCTCCAGAACTTATAAAAACAAATTTCACTGTACCTTCCCACAAGTCTACTGTCTGAAAAATGTCTGTGGTGATTACTCCATAGGCTTCAGCTGCCTGAAGGAACTGGGAGATCTTTTCCATCTGCTTAAAGGCCATCTGTGTCTCTGGGATCTTCGTAATAGGCTCCTTACCACGCGGATACAAACTGTTAATGAGTCTACAGAGGATCTACAGACATAAATAAAGGGAAAATACAGGTAAATACAAGAACAGAATCATGTTGGTGTGATATTGTCAAAGTGAAGTTTACTTACAGTGCCATCCATTAGCCAGTTCTGAAAGTTTTGTCTCCCTGGCTGTGGTTTTTCAACATTTCCTCCGCACTGAGCAACAATCCAGTCCACCAGTCGAGATTCCAGCTCTGGGTCATATTTCTGCTCGATCTTCTCCTGCACCTCACGGCTCAGTCCATAACTGGGTCCTCGGTTCGCCATTGGTCACTTAAGTTTAATAATTCAAGCTATTTCCCCAGAAGCCTATAATATATAAAGACACTATAGCTAAACCTGTGCTTCAGAGAGAGAGAAATTTCTGTATAGGCTACTTGTTGGGTACTTAAAGTGCCTGCAAGTCTTTGCAAATCTTAATTGTCAGAATCAGTCTTTAAGATCTGCAGAATATGAATTGTCCTGTATTGTGTTTATATTTTATTGTATATGAAGATCACGAACTGACAAGGGGTAATATTGACCGGGGTGTGGTCCATGCTTGTTTCCATGTGACTTCAAGAAAATGAAAATCTATAGGATATGTTTCAATCTAAACCTATCTCGAACTTTATAAAAGATGATGAATGCAATTATCCTATTATTTCTTAGAATTAGATAGAGCGTGCAGATGCAAAAAGAAACTGCCTGCGCAGGTTTAGCCCAAATTAGTTTTAAACTATTACATTAATCCTACCGATAATTCTGGCTGCGATGTCCACAAACAAATTATTTTGTCAAGGATAACGTATTACTTACTGAAGGGAGATGTGCGTGTCGTCCTCTGTCGCAGCGAGGTCAAATCCTTCCTGTGGTCACTGCTGGAGATGCTGGACTGAAACATCCATGTAGCGGGGACGGGGCGTGGCTACGAGCGCACTGGCCGGAGTGCGGAACCCTACTACGGTGGAGGCTTGGCCTTGGCTTATTGTGAATATTAATTAGCTTGTAGCTTATGTTGATGGAAACGCTGATGGAAAGTTACCAAGTAGCGGCGGCCTGACTCAATTGACATTCATGAGCTTGTCTGGAATAGCAAGACTGTTCAAACAAATGCATGGAACAAAATCGCCCTACATAAGCAATGGTGAATTCACTTATTTTAAAAACAAGATTTTATATTTACCTCTTTACAACGTTATGCATTTTCATAAGGCGAGAATTAAAAGTTCAACCAAAAGTAAAAATTCTGTCATTAATTACTCACCCCCTCATCTCGTACCAACCCCATCTTCGGAACACAAGCGAAGATCTTTTTGAGGAAATCTGAGAGCTTTCTTTACCCCATGACATCTACACAATTAAAGTTCACTTTAAAAAAAACAAAAAAACTTTTGCTGATAATTTACTCACCCCCATGTCATCCAAGATGTCCATGTCTTTCTTTTTTCAGTCGAAAGGTTTTTGATGAAAACATTCCAGGACTTTCTCCATATAATGGAATTCAATGGGAACCAAACGGTTCAATGTCCACATGAGAGTTTCAGTGCAGCTTCAAAGGGCTTTAAACGACACCAGACGATGAATAAGGGTCTTATCTAGCGAAACGATCAGTCATTTAAAAAATAAATAAAAAAGCTTAAGTTTTATAACCACAAATGCTCACCTTGCTCTGTTCTGTGATGAGCGTTTGTGACTCTCCTGTTCAAACTCGTTCATCAAAATGAACAAACCTTTTTTTGAGTCATGACTCGAAGGGTCCTAGAGACCCTCGTCTGGTGTCGTTTGAAGCTGCACTGAAACTCATTTTATTTGGACCTTGAACTGTTTGGTTCCCATTGAAGTGTATTATATGGAGAAAATCCTGGATTGTTTTCATCAAAACCTTAATTTCTTTTCAACTGAGGAAAGAAAGAAGTGGACATCGGAAGACATGGGGGTGAGTAAATTATCAGCAAAAGTTTTTTTTAAAAGTGAACTACTCCTTTAAGCTTCAAAAAGAGAATCGTAAAACTAATCCACATAAATTGAGCGGTTTAGTAAAAAAAAAAAGTTCAAACATGTTCGCTTGACGTGTGAGAACCAATGATGTTCATTCTCGTTTGAGCTTCTACACAAACCAATGAGGTTTATTCTCACGTATCAAGCGTTCAGTTGAGGTTCGAGCTTCAGTTTATTTTTGCAGATCAATGTTTATACCAATAAAACTAAAGCCTAAATTAAATTTGTTCATCCTATAAAGCGATTTAGTTGAGGGGATAAAAAAAAAAGAAGAAAAAGCCCCCGGCCCATTAAACACAGCAACACTAATCCTGGATGTTAATAAACAACCAAGCAGTTCATAAAGCAGTGGCCCAATATGTCCTCCAAACAAACAAGGAGTGCAGGGGCGAGGGAGAACTGAAAGGTCAGATTGATATAATGTGCTCAGTATACTGTGCCTGATGGGATGTTCAGGTGGGCTAATGTAATAAAACACACACCATTTAACTCCTTACATTTAGGCTTCAGCACAAGCTCTATCCAGTGTTTGTGGCATAATGTTGATTACAACAAAAGTGAATTTCCAAAAAACAATCTGGGTTACGGTGACGTATAATAGAAATTAATGGGGCCAATTCATAAACTTTAAAATACTCACCATTCAATATTATAGTCACAAGATGCAAACAATGATTTAAGTGTGGGAGAGAGAGAGAAAATGATCACTTAAAGTTGTATGCAATGACAACGCAAAGCCATAAACACCAAAATGACAATAAAATTAAGTAAACAGCTCAAATACACAAGATCTAACTTTAACAGAAGTGAACGATGAGACATTTTATTTAGTTAAAAAAATTAAAATAACAGATCCATTGTTTTAATCAATGGATCAGATGAATTTACTTTTAAAATTCTGTGCTGTCGACTGAGCTTAACTTGCACTGAAACTGGAATATTCCTCAGAGGAATACAGTATATCATTATGTATTGGTATACAGAGGTTTTATTTGCATAAAACGGTTTGAAAAAATGGTTAAAAAAAGGCACAGGAGATCTAGACAAATCTTGTGCCAGATAAACAGCAGCTTTGCCTTAAAGGCTTAATGGCACAGCATTGCACTGGGTAAACATGTAAAAGAAAGATTTTGCCCTCCCACAGTTCACTCTTTTCCCATCATTCTTGTCTTGCGAGATAAAACAGGAAGTGAGTGTTTGGCAAAAACAAGTGGGAGAGGGTCCGAAGGCTAGTTGCATGGTAACCTGTTCCAAAACGGTGGCTCACACCATGGTGGTAAGTTTGTCAATGAGGTCATCGATGGTGTAGACAATGAGCTTGATGTCATCTTTTTCAGCCATACGGTGCAGGCCGTGGCGCCGTAGAATGATGTCCACGTCAGGGCTCAGCACACGCTCGGCCACTTGCATGGAGATGTGCCAGGGCACGTCCTCGTCTTTCAGGCCGTGAATGAGACGAACCGGGCAGGTGATAGGGATGGGGCTCTGTAGGATGCAGTGGTTCTCCGCATCACGCAGGAAATCCATACTCACAGTGTACATGCCCTCCTCGTTACTTTTCGTGGGGATCGTCCATGAACCCTTGTCCTCACACTCTTTTCTCACCTGAATAACATACGTAGACTCTCTGACTAATTTCCAATATCACCACCCCAACATTTGAGACATTTAACGTGATGTAATGTGAACATGCAACCGCTACTTTAGTTGCATCTCACCTCTATAGGAAGTGTCTTAAAGGCTGTAACAAAATGATCTGCTGCTGTGGAAATGCCCACCAATGCCTTTGTCTTCTCTGGGCGAGCGATAGCAGCCAAAAGCATCAGCCAGCCACCCATACTGGAGCCAACAAGAATCTAGGAGACAACATGCATACTAACAGTCAAAACCAGTGTTCAATGGCATTAGTGACCTCTAGTGACACTCTTTAAAATTAATTAAGAATAAAGCCAAAACACTGAGCATGATTATTCCAAAATGGAAAATAACATATGTATTTTGGTTTATATAAATTAGTTTAAAATGCAACAACTGGCAATTCTTCAATTGGTCCTAAATTATAACGTCTAACAGGGCAGTTGTTGTGGGCTAATGGTTCAGACTGGTAACCTGAAGGTTGTAAATACTGGTAGGAAACGACTGAGGTGCCCTTGCAGAGTACGTTTACTACTCACAACTCCTAATAAACTTGGATGGGTTAAATGCAGAGGACAAATTTCAAGTATTGGTTACCATAGTTCACTTCAATGTTTAGATAGCATCTGGAAAGTCATTGATGCCTTACCTGAGGACCTTCAGCAAGTTCGTCTAACATGAACAGGACATCTTTTTTCCAAGTTCCAATGGTGCCTTCTGAAAATACACCTTCAGAAGCTCCATGACCAGAGTAATCAAACCTGTAAATCCATGTAAGAGTTTTGTGTGAACTTTCACCTAGTGGAATTCAACAGTTTTTCAATTGACAAGGGGTTTTGTCTGATCCAAATTATGGTAAGCAACATGTAAAGAGGGGACATCAAAAGAAAATGCTTCATTTGCAGTCAGATTAACCTCATGTTTCATCATAATATCATGGTGTAAACATCAAACTGCTCTGTAGTGAGATATGCAGGACTATGATGTCGCATTTATCTGCCTCCAGTCATGAGTGCAATGACCATGTCAAACTTGAATCAACAACCTTTGCATAGAAGAACCAAGTCCATGTCCAACATTTTTTTTCTTTTTCGATAAAAAACAACAACACTCAGATGTACGTAACAATACAAAAGAAAAGATCTGTCACTACTTGTTTCAACGGGACTTTAATACTTCTATTGTTTTATCACAAAATATATTATCAGCATAACAATTTGATGTAAATATACAATTCATAATGTCAGCTTTAAGTCTCAGACCTTTGCACGTATATGTGATTGTGAATATCAGACACACACCTCAGGTAGGCATGACCTAGAGATCTGCAGAACTCCTCCATGGCCTCTGCCTTCTGTCCGCTCATGTTGGATCCATATCCAGGCAGGAACACGACACCAGGACTCTTGCCCTTCACTCTACGATAGGCCAGCTTAGGTTGGTCTGGCCGTGATATGTACTGTACTGTAGATTTATGTCTAACTCCTGCAAAACACACATAGCAGTATGTGGCTTTAAAAGGATACTCCACTTTTTTTGGAAATAGGCTCATTTTACACCTCGCTCAGAGTTTCAAATCCATTCAGCCGATTTTCTGATATTTAGAAGAATATCAGTAACCAGACAGTTTCTGGTCCCATTGACTTCCATAGTTTATATTTTTTTCCTACTATGGAAGTCAATGAGACCAGAAACTGTCTGGTTACTGACATTTTTCCAAATATCAGAAAATCGTCTGAATGGATTCGAAAACGGTAAATCTCACTGTTTAACTCTGGGGGAGTTGTAAAATGAGCATATTTCCAAAAAAAGAAGAAAAAAAAGTGGAGTATCCCTTTAAAGTTTATTTCTGCATTTTGTGACCAGTCAAAAGTTTGGGGTCAGTGATGTCTATTAGTTTGTATTTATCAAAATATTCTGGATTGTTTTTTTTTTTAAATATCACAATTTAAAACTGTTTTCTATTTTTTTCCCCACGCAATTCATTCATGTAATGCCAAGCTGAATTTCCAGCAACATTGCTCCAGTCTTCAGTGTTACATGATCCTTCAGAAATCATATTCTGATTTGCTTCTCAAAAAAACAGTTCTTCTTATTATAAATGTTGAAAAAAGTTATTCTGCTTAATATTTTTTCGGGAAAACGTGATTGATTGATGATTGATAAGGAAGTTGAAATAGAAATCTTCTGCAACATTATCACGTCAACAACATGTATAAACTCAATTCCTAACAAACCTGGTTTGAATACATTGAATCCCATAAACATTTAAGACTTTAAGTTGAAGCACACTTTTACAGTTTTGAAGGTTAAATATCACTATAATTCAATCTTTGAGCAGTGAGTCCCACTCCCCCAAGGCGTCCTGATACCACACCCCCTTCATTCGTCCAGTTTTCAACAAGCATAGTTTGCTTGTTTGTAACCTAAATTTCGTTTGTTAGTTTAGTAACGTTAGTACGAACCTTCCAAAACCCTCGGTCTGACAGCGTCGACAGCTCCATTACCCGAGTTTAGCAAAAGTCCTCTCCAACAATGCTTCAGAACCAGCGCTGCCATGCTGTCTCACCACCCACCACCGCTGAGATAATAACGCGAGAATATCGGGGTTGCCATGTTTTAAAACGCACATGAAATCCCCCATTGCAAACCTTTACGGTGTTGCCAAATACACCGTAGAATTAAAATTTCCCCTCACTTTTTATGCACAAAAACCTATGTTGCACCTGTAGTACTCAAATAATTTCCAAAGAAACTTAAAAAAAGATAATATTAGTTTGAGCGGTTGCAAAATCTATCAGGCCAGAATTTCACCCCTGACTGAAAGAATAAAATGGTCATGCAGTTTTTGACCAAATTAATTTACAAGATTGCCGGGTTTTCTGAATAAGGATTATAGATCTCCTCATTGAATTTTTATTAATTACTGTGCCCTTTTTAAGCTTGAATCAAAATAACCTCACTCTTGCAACGATTTCTCTTTTCTGACGACATGTTTAGTGATGTGACGGCAGGAGGACAAGCTAACATGAGATCACAGTAATAGCAAGCCACAATGATCCAATCAATTCTCAATGGACAAAATCAAGTCCCATCTTACATTTTTCTTGTTCGAGAGAGGCAATTTAATTGGCTATAAGTCACAACAGGGAAGAAAAGAAAGACTATCACAACACTAGGATTTTCCAGGAAGCATCGGAAATTACCATTTTAAAACAAGATGTTCAAAATGTTAAGATCTGATGGAAAAGGAAGGGAAAGTAATGCATTTTTAAAATTATGTAACCACACACTTTTCAAGGGCAGGTAGTGTACCCTATCAATGTCTGAATAAGTATGAAAAAATAGCAGATGAAAATGTTCCCAGGGGCAAGTTTTAGGTAAATTTTTGGGTTTAAGATGTCACTAACCCAGGACGAATGTTGTGTAGTCCCTACCAGCCGTTTGTTGTAGTCCTTAAAAAAAAAACGATTTCTGTAAAAGTAAATATCTTTGCTTTGAACTTTGAGCGTTGTAACTTTGCAGATATTGTTTATGCTCAAAAATCAATATTACACACTAACTAAATTTAGAAATGTGAAATCATAATCAACTACCCCTTTAAAACAACGTAACGTCATTGAAAGAGCTTAAGAAAAATTACAAACATAAACGTTAAATTAGCGATTGCTGAATTTATTACATACTTGTGTAACAGCTGTAATTAGACATTTACAAAATTAAAGCAGAATTTACATATACACACACTCATTTAACTGTAGTGATGAATGTTGGAGAAGCTTTATGGTGCATTTCATCTTCTCCAGACATCCCAGAATACTCAACTTTGGGTCCTCATTGTCTCATCAAAGTGCCTCTTTCCATCCAGGTAAAGCATAGACTCTGCAAATGACAACAATATCAAGTTATGAATAATTCTATTCAAATAGAGTGTAACGATATGCATATATAATATAAATTATATTTATATCTAACCGCCATAGCTCTGTGGTACAACAGATGGGACCTCCTTCTCAACATGAAAGGTGAAGTGGAACACATTGGTGGTGCTGTGCTGCCGGGTCAATGGGTCAAGCACCTCTGTGTGAACCCTGACCTGGACGTGCATCCCTTCTGTGTAGCAAACCTGATTAAAATATCACAGTGCTGTTAGTGTGAATAAAATTTAAATAAGCAGCATCAGCAAAAGTTACTAACCTGAGAAGACAACATGAGCAAGGATCCGATTTCTACTGGCTTCTGAAATAAGATGTCATCGACAGCCACCACTGTTGGTCTGCATCCACTGAAAGACACAAATACAACCATGTGAAGAAATCAATAACATTTCCACAGCAAATATTCCACACATAGCTGTTTTTCTTCTTACGCAAATGCACAGGCATTGGCCCGACCAAGCTCATAAGCCTTTCTCATCAGAAAACCACCAAATATCCGGTTGAAGATATTTCTTTCCTGTACAAAGAACAAATTAAATTCACATATATGGTTACAATATTTAAAAGTGCCCCTATTATGAATTTCTGGGGAAATGACCTTGTAGTGTAGTGTAGTATGTAATATAGCTGTTTGCGAACTTCCAGTATGAACTTATGTAAGTTTGCAACAAATTTGCATTATGGCAGCCTATGTTCTTCACTAGCTGCCCACGAACAATGTGTACTTTAATGAGCCCTGTAGTTGTAGCTGAAGTCTGGAAGGGCATTGGTACATGTCGAGAAGGAACTGTTGTGATAAAACTGGAGGCATCGTTACTATTCGTGCACAAAATAAACGAATCACTCTCTGAGACAACTCGGTAGTCCCGAGTCATATTAAAATGAACAATTTGAGAAAAGAGGTGATGCTGTAATGTATATTATGAGAAAAGTAATATACATTGCAGTATATTATTGTAAGGTGTCTTTTTGGCCTTGGATGCATCATGTAAACCTAGTGTAGGAGACCTCCAAAATAAGATTATGAACCTTTAATATAGCATTAGAGGGGTACTTTAAAAGTTATTTAATTTTTTTTTTTATAATACTGATTTTCTCACCTGTGGATGGCAAATTTCAAGCCCTTTCAGTTTGGCATCTTCCATCCACACTGAATTTGGTGGTAGAATACGACTATGGAAACTCACACGTCTACAGGAAAGGCATTTATTTTATTAATTTATACCCATAGTGAAAATAAAGGCACAGCGATTTATATGTCTATTGATAATAAATCTCACCTCGAGTCTAGAGTGTTGAGGAACAGGTTGTGAACGAGAGTCCTCTCCTCAGCTGTAGGGGCCACTTTAAGAAGAGAGGCTGTGCTCAGCTCCACACGCCTCTTCTTGTTAACTGAGAATGTGAATTTGGTAATTAATTCAGAAGCCAAAATAAATAAACTAAGGCACCCTTTGCATAATTATTAACTTAATAGTTTGAATTTATCTCTAATAAATTACAAGCCGCACACCTTTTTTTTTTAAATAAATGTAATCCATCTGGGTTGAAAAGACGAATAATAGACAAAATAAAATGTACTCACTTTCACCCTGTAGAAAAATTGCCTCTTCATCCGGGCCCTCTGGTTTGAGTGGGTTTACAAAAGCTGCCCTTAGGAAAGAATATACGTATCAACTCACTGACACCGCATATCAATTTCTGACTTATCGACTGTATCATTGAGCTGTGATACCTTTTGTTTTCAGGATCTCGAGCCACCATTACAAACGTGGCATCTAATACATCTGTGTAAGCCCCATCCTGACACTGAGAGTTCATTTTATTTTAATTATTTTAATATGTGCAACATATAACACGTATATTTAAAAAAAATAAATAATATATACCTGAGACATGTGCATTTTAGCTTCTATTGAGGTCTTTCCAACCCATGTCACATGACCTGTGAACTTGATGTCACAGTCTGGGTAGATGATGTTTTGTCTCATGTCTGATACATATTAACAATAGCACATGAATAAATAATTAATCATGCATTCAATTTTACATTCAATCAACTTGAATGGCAACATAATAACTAGCTGTATACTGTATCTATTTCTGCATGAATGAGATGCAGTACCGATCTTGTCCACTAGGGCGGTGACAATAGACAGTGGAGATCTTTGTTGCTCCTCATTCCATGTGTGAGAGTAACAGATGAGCACTAAGGAGACAAGAATGAGACAGCATAACACCCTACGTGTTCATGTACATAATCACAGCATACATCTGTAGTACCTCCTAAACAGTCCAAGTCCTCCAAAATCCGTCCAAACCTGTGAAGAAAAAAGCATTTTGGCTTAAAACAGTGATCAGAAAGATATACAGTACATTCACTCTTTTTTTTGCATATACAAGCAACCAGCAACTAATAAGCATGCTGCGTGTGCATGGTAATGGTCTTTTAGTACCTGACACTGTTGTGAGAGTTGAGATATTTCTCTCTCAAGGCAGGCTGGGTACCCAGAGGAAGATGAGCCTCGATTGCACTGTCCTTCATTGTCTTTGCAGGCAGTTCATCCTGACTCCGAGCAAGATACTGGCTTAGAGATGCACGCTCAGTTAATACTTGCTGATGGTCTCTGTATGTTATGGAGAAAATGCATTTTTTGTCCAGTTGCATTTCTAATTGATTTGCTTATTCCAGAATAATGTGTGATTATTGCAATTATGATGCATCAGTAACATACTGCCAGTTGGTAGATGCACCGACTATCTCTCTCAGCCGGTTGCGAACTGTGAAAAAAAAACAAAAAAAAAACAGCAAAATGTATTTTTATAGTAAGAGTCATTGGTTAGCCTTTTAGTTTTGGTATTAGAAACACAGATGGTTTATCTTCACACTATGTTGATTCATTTAAAGCCAATTATTATGACAATTGCATTATGTTAAAACAGGAAACACAGAAAGGTAACACAGAAGGGTAAAGCATTAAAAAAAATGAAATCATAAGATGTACTAAATGGTAAATAAAATGCATTTATATAGCACTTTCACAGACCCAATGGCCACCAAAGCGCTTAACATATTGCCTCACATTCACCCATTCAGTGTTTCATTCATACACCATGCATACCATGCAAGGTGCCATCCAGCTCGTCGGGAGCAGCAAGGGTTAGGTGTCTCGCTCACGGACACCTCGACACTTGGTCAGGTGGAACCAGGGATTGAACCACCAACCTTTTGGTTTGCATACAACCTACATGAACTACTGAGCCACTGCCACCTTAAGTATATACTAAGTATGGACTACATGCTTGTATACCTTAAAATAGCAGGAGGGCAGCTGCATGCAGAGAATTAGTAAAAATAACTTTCAAAAGCTCAATATACATTCAGAATAAATTATATATGAAGGGAAATTAAAATTTCTTCCATTTTACCATTGCTTACAAGAGAAAAAACAACATCATTGCTGCTGGGAAAACAACAAGCATTTGATGAATGTTGTGATGTTTAGTGATATTAGTCTGTGCTGTCTGAAAGAAACCAATATGACATAAAAATGTCTAAATAAATGATTCAAATGATCAAATTAACACCCTCAAAGCTTCACTGAACAATGTCTAACTTTAGCTATTTATTTAGGAATCCTGTTAATTGCGTAAAATAATCAAAAAAGATTAAACCTGCATACTTTAAAAGTCTGCAATATAACATATTTTCAAAAGGTAATGCCGGTAATACAAATTAGGAATGACAAGTGTGATGGTCACTGTGATTTTGCAAAGTTAGACAATTCCTGTCCAAAAACTTTGTACACTTTCTACCCATATATTATCCCTAAAATCAAAGGGAAATGATAGAATGATGTAAAAATGTTAATTGAATTGTTGTAATGCTAAACTTGACATAAACTGTGAACTTCTCCCTCAAATCTGATGGTTGCTTGGAAAGTTGATCCAGGAACATTGCACTTGGTGAAATGACGTTCACCGCATAGCCTAGTGTATTCCTGTTGTTACCTTCAGCCATATCAAGTGCATTTCCTTGTCGGGATATTTGACCCATGGAAAACTTCCTGAACGTGAAGGACACCGCAGACTTCAAGACCCTATACAATGCGAGTGAGCTGCCATGAGAGGCACGAAAAAGCCTGCAAAGGGTGAAGACATGCATCAACGTAAAAAGAAACAAGTAGTCTTACAGATACAATAGGCATACGAGTCAGAAGATACAGATGTAACTTACCGTGGACAAGACATGTTTTTGTTCTTCCCTCGCTACTTTTGAGAACAGCAGGAACGTTAGTTTTTCTTTCAAATCAACAACAAATCTCATCTGAACTTGATCTTGATTTTCTTTCACTTCTCGATCCTCCGCTCACAGTAGCCTACTTTTATTAATACTCAGTTTTAACAAACAAACACACACAATGGTCCAGTTTATAACGTATTTGCACCCATTATTAAGAACGTTTTCAAAGCGAGTAATGAGCGTTATTTAGGGTAAAAAAAAAACATCTCAACAACATGACTAAATATAATTCTGTCGTCATGACGTAGTGGCTCTGGCTATTTCTCACTCTTTCAATATTACGAGTTGGCCACTCGGTGGCAGCAATTGTCAGCTTTATCGTTCACTAACATTTTCCTCAGTAAAAATGTTTTAAACAAATGAAGGAATATCTTCAGTGCCACTCATACACAAACAATCACACACACATAGTATTTGTTTTGGTTAATAATATGGTTAAAAATGGGCAGAAATTCTGCTGAATGTTTTACTGCTTCTGGTTTGAATTAAATGCTCAAGTTCTTTATATTTGTCCCCTCATTATAACTTTAGGATCTGTGCCAACTAACCTCTGTAGGGCTGCAACAACTAATCGATAAAATCGATTATAATCGATTATGAAAATCGTTGTCAACGAATGTCATTATCGATTAGTTGGTCTGATTACGTCACGGGGATTGTTTACATGGAACATGCGCTTCTTACATGCGCTTCATGAGGCACACACGCAGTCTCTCTCCCTCGCCGCTCTTCCCTGTCTCGCGCGCGCAACACGGACGGTTTGGAGCACATTATCTTCTGTCTCGCGCGCGCAACACGGACGGTTTGGAGCACATTATCTTCTGTCTCGCATGCGCGCTCTTGATTCCGTGAGTTTGAACTAATTTGCGGGCATCAGGAAACCGCTATCAATATGCAGCATACACGAAAATCATTCACCTTTCGGTAAATTCGCCGTTTTGAAACCAAAATAGGTGACCTACGTTAATCGTGTATACTTTATGAAGCCATACTATAGTATAATGTGAGATAGAAATGTATATTTAAGTCATTAAATTCAAGTTAACCTAAGCTTTTCCCTCCACTGCGGCTGTCAGTCATTCTCTATTCGGTGTTCAAACAGCCCGTCGCGTTACAACAGTTAACACATGATGATCTCTTTCCAAGATGATTCAATGTTATTATTATAATTGATCCGTAGATAAAGGTCTATGATGGTTTTTCTATCTTGCTAGACTTTTATTGCTGTAACTTAATCACTTTCTACTGAGTGTCTGTTAGATCACAACACTATAGAGTCGGCGCAGTATAATTGTTCTTCACGTGCACAGTAGCCTAACTGAAATTTAAAACTGTTAAAAGAAAAGTCTCAATAAACTATTGCATAGATACGGTGTAATACACAGTCAATATGTCTTTCTCTTTCCTTGGTGCTTAATGCGGCGGACACTGAAGAACTGCGCGCCGCCCTGTGACTCCGTGTTCATTCAGCGCTCGCGATGCGCATAAGCACTTTGTGCAGCTCTTTCATGATCATGTCATAATACTTTTGCGCAATGAAAGCTTATTAATAGCCTTTCTTGTTCTGTCCTATCTATTATATTTTGCTTCCTCACTAAACAGCTGTGCTTTACATTTAAAACAGTTGAACTTGTGCATCTGATTTTTACGATGTTTTTCATGAATGTATAACAACAATACAAAGAGCAATGTGTACGTTTTACCATTGTTAGTGCTACACTTATTGTCTCTTATTTGTTCCCCACTAAGGAATGTTTTTTTTTTCACTAAATGTTCAGATTTTATAAAATTATTGTGCACTTGTGATACTTCTAAGTTTTGCTGAGTTATCCACTAATCTAGTTTACAATAGCATTTTTGTCATAGGTTATGGTCATATATATATATTTTATTTGTTGTTTCTCTTTATAATGAAGTTGTCTGTATTAAGTAGATTGTTTAACACACAAAAGAGTGTGGTTTTTAGGGTTTTATTTTGTTATAATAAACAAAAAAATGGAATATAATTTTTTATCCGATTAATCGATTAATCGAAAAAATAATCGTCCGATTAATCGATTATCAAAATAATCGTTAGTTGCAGCCCTAAACCTCTGTAACACCTGTAACCCCTGTACACAACGCGACTTTAATGATGAACAAAACATTTCTAGCAATAATTTATGAACATTAAATGTATCTGTTGATTAACTGAGATCTTAAACTTTTAATTGTTACTGGTTAGACTATTTGAACATATATAGCATGACTGAAACATATAACAGAGAGAGAAAAATGTGCCAACCAACCCCACTTGCCCCAACAACTCACTTCAGTAATCCACCTAATATTGGACACGTTTACTTGTGGAATAAGTCAATATAAGAATACATGTGATATATGAAGCAATATAGATGTAGATAAAGATATTTAAGGTTCTGTGTAGTTACGACATGTTATCAGAAAGTTAACTAGTTTCCTAGTTAAAAAATTGGACATGAATGCCCACTCAAGTCAAAATTGCAAAATGGCATGTGAAGGCAGCAGCATTATACATGTGAATAAAATATTAAAAGCATTTAAAAAAAAAAAAAAAATATATATATATATATATATATATATATATACACACATATCAACATATTAAAAACATTGAAATGGCATGCATTCATTTATCAGTTTTTGATCATTCTGGCACAGGTAGTGTGTACATGAAAGGCATCATGTTAATTTCCATATTAAATCTGTAGTTTTAACTGTACTGTCCATTGCAGGGCCAAACTACCATTTTTCACAAACTTCCATGGTTGTTTATAACATTTACAATAATAATAATAATGACAAAAGTTAATATTACCCATATTGTCAGCATTCTGAAACATAATGCAGATATAACTGCAAGACCTGATTCTTTCCCATTCTGTCACTGAGCTCTCTAAGACAGATGTCTAAGGTAAAGTTTTTGGACTTATCTGATCTCCAGTTTAGGATCTCCTCATTTCCTTTTGAAGAGAGCAAGAAAGGAAGACTGGATTTATACTCCGAGTTTGTGCATAAATCTCGGTTGTTCATGAATTGCCCTGGCAGGATTTAGATCAGCAACTCTACAAAATCAATCAAATCAAAATCACTTGGTTGAATAGTCTTTAAAGTCCTCTTTCCTTATAAATGTAATTCTAGTGCAAATAAAACATGGTCTGTTGTAAGTCTCAATAACTAAATAGGTTGCAACAGTACAACCATTGATATATGGCCGCATAAAAAAACACCCTTAAACAGCTAAACACACCATTTCCTAAAATGTCCTCTCCCGATGTTAACTTGAAATTGCTAAAAAATATTTTACATTCATGTAAAATACGGCGAGTAATAAAATATATAAATATAAAATGGCAAACTAAAATAAAAAAGCTGAATCCACACATACAAATGGTCATGTAACCACAGCTGAGACTGTCACTGTAGCTTTGCCAGGAATCTCATCCTATCAGCACATCTTGGAATGCTCAAATTTGGGTCCTCATCGTCTCATCAAAGTGCCTCTTTCCATCCAGGTAAAGCATAGACTCTGCAAATGACAACAATATCAAGTTATGAATAATTCTATTCAAATAGAATGTAACGATATGCATATATAATAAATAATATTTATATCTAACCTCCATAGCTCTGTGGTACAACAGATGGGACCTCCTTCTCAACATGAAAGGTGAAGTGAAACACATTGGTGGTGCTGTGCTGCCGGGTCAATGGGTCAAGCACCTCTGTGTGAACCCTGACCTGGACGTGCATCCCTTCTGTGTAGCAAACCTGACAGCAGAGTATTTTCAACAATCTTAGTCTGAAAAATTGTCCATAAACTAGTGCATTTGCTAATGATATTACAGAACTTAGAGACCTGTGAGGAAAGCAATAGCAAGGAGCCAATTTCTACTGGCTTCCGAAATAAGATGTCATCGACAGCCACCAGCGTTGGTCTGCATCCACTGAAAGACACAAATACAGCCATGTGAAGAAATGAAAAACTTCTTTACAGTCAATATTCAGTAAATAACAAAGGTGAACCCTCTTACGCAAATGCACAAGCATTGGCCCAACCGAGTTCATAAGCCTTTCTCATCAAAAATCCACCAAATATCCGATTAAAGATATTTCTTTCCTGTATAAATGCAGATAATAAAGAAAATTCAGGCACATAAAAAAGCATTACATCAATGTACTCTTTTCATTAGTCAAGGATTGCAAGAAATTTTCCCTCACTTGTGGGTGGCAGATCTCAAGCCCTTTCATTTTGGCATCTTCCATCCACACTGAGTTAGGCGGTAAAATCCGACTTCGAAAGCTAACAGTTCTATATGGAGAAGGTAACTATTCTTAAATAAAATGGCTATACAAATTAAGGCACAGATATTTATACCGGTGTATTGATAATAAATCTCACCTCGAGTCTAGAGTGTTGAGGAACAGGTTGTGAACGAGAGTCCTCTCCTCAGCTGTAGGGGCCACTTTAAGAAGAGAGGCTGTGCTCAGCTCCACACGCCTCTTCTTGTTAACTGATCAATATAAAGACCACCAGTCTTACTCTCTATGTTTCAAGTTGAAGTGGCAATTGTGATTGCAAACACACAAAAGTGCTACTCACTTTCACCCTGTTGAAAAATGGCCTCTTCTTCTGGTCCTTCTGGTATCAATGGGTTTATAAAAGCTGCCCTGGATAAACAGTACATAACCATGCTTTAATTTGCACACATAAATCATAAACGTATTGATCGTACAAACAGGTTTAACGCTACCTTTTGTTTTCAGGATCGCGAGCCACCATGACAAATGTGGCATCTAATACGTCTGTGTAAGTCCCATTGTGATACTGAGAAAACAGTTCATTTTATTTTAATGATCTTAATATGTGCAAAATATAACATGTATCTTTGATAAAAAAAGACTTTATACCTGAGACATGTGCATTTTAGCTTCTATTGAGGTTTTGCCAACCCATGTCACGTGACCTGTGAACTTGATGTCACAGTCTGGGTAGATGATGTTTTTTCTCATGTCTGTGAAACAATAAAAAAGTGAATTAAAATAATTATTATAACATAAAATAAAACTATTTATAAGACTTCTATACAAGATGCAGTACCGATCTTGTCCACTAGGGCGGTGACAATAGACAGTGGAGATCTTTCCAGCTCCTTATTCCATGTGTGAGAGTAACAGATTAGCACTAAGGAGACAAGAATGAGACAGTGTGTGATTAGACAAAGCAAGTTATGATCTGCCCATACACTGCTTTGCTCATTTACAGCTTAACCACTGTTGGGCCAAACTGTTCTCGTTTCTTAATCGTTCCATTCCGTGCAGTACAGATACAGTTTTATTTTCCACTGTGAGTGAGGCTGATAAAAGAGCTCTTTGGAATGTAATACGAGTGCATTAGTTGTTTACAGACAGTGTGAGAGAAACTGGTAGCAAGGCAACCAATCCTGAGTGTTGATGTCACACAAGAACTGTTCGTAATCATGCCGTGCCAAACCAAGCTCAAGTGGGAATAATAACGGAAAGTTTTTTTAGTACTAACAGGGGATAGCGGTTAATGGTTCTATGAAGAACCTGTAACATCCATAGAATCTTTCCATTGCAGAAAAGGTTCTTTATAGTGTAAAAAGGTTATTTTGAATATTAAAATGTTCTTCACACCGAGACAAAATGGTTCTTTTAAGAACTTTTCACTGAAAGGTTCTTTGGGGAACCAAAAATGGTCCTTCAATGGCATCACCGTGAAAACCCCCTTTTGAAACCTTTTTTAAATATATTACCTGCTAAACTGTCCAAGTCCTCCAAAATTCTTCCAAATCTGTTGAGAAAAAGGTATTTAAGGTAAGGTATTTGTCATGAAAGCAACTTTGTTAGTACTTCATTACTAGTCTTGTGGTGAACCATTAATCAGACAAAGTTAATACACAGAAAAAAAGGCAATTTGTCAAGGCAATCTTTAATTAAAATCTGAAAATTTGCTTCTACTTTGGAATGGAAATCCTATATGGAAATGGAAATATATAGGGGAACCGCTCCCCTCCAAACATCAACCGTCTGCTTTGAGCAACGCTAAACTAAAACCCCGTCCTCCATTCAATATGTTGTTTCACTTGCAAATACATCACAACACTGAAGTACAGTTGGTTACAACTTCCAGGTCATGGGGACTTTTAGCAAAGGAAAATGTACTCCGATTACAACGCATATTCAAATATTGTTGGTTATTATCTGAATGCCACTATTTGTATAACCTGCCTTTTAGTACCTGACACTGTTGTGATAGTTTAGATATTTCTCTCTCAAGGCAGGCTGGGTACCCAGAGGAAGATGAGCCTCGATTGCACTGTCCTTCATTGTCTTTGCAGGCAGTTCATCCTGACTCTGAGCAAGATACTGGCTTAGTGATGCACGCTCAGTTAATGCTTGCTTATGGTCTCTGTACAATGCAATGGAGAAAATAAAACATGTTATGTAAAGTGGTCACAATCAACAAGGACTATCATTCTGCAAAAGGAATAACATAACATACTTCCAGTTGGTTGATGCTCCAACTATCTCCCTCAGCCTGTTGCGAACTGTAAAAATAAGGAGGAACAAAATAGAGTTTGAAAGATGCACTGAGACATCACATACTGTACCCTATTATGTACTAAGTTTAGTGTTGGATTGGAAAGTGTAGCAGAGTCTGTATCATCCATTAACAATATGGAGAAAGTAAAAAGTAGTGAGCAGAAATAATGTATTAGAGAGGAATCGAGACTAGTCTGTACGAACAGGCTGCTCACAGGGTGAAGGCATTTGAAAGGAAAAGACAATAGATGTCAAAGTACAAAGAACTACATGCAATGCACATGTACCATGAGATAACAGCAGGACAGTTTATTAAGCCACATGCAGAAAGAGTGTCTGAGCATTTCAAAGAGAGTAAATGTTCTTCCATTTTACCATTGCTCACAAGTAAAAATGTGTTTCCTGTGGGGACATAAAAGTGGGTCAGGAACACCAATGGGAAATAACTATTATAATATTTCAAAATAATAATTTTATATAATACTAAATATATATAGAGAGAGTGAGACATAAATAAATGTAGTCCCACTTTAGCTGCATTTATCCCAAATAAAGAAAGTAAGCACTAAAACGTTGTTTCAGCCTGATAACTAGCACACTCACTGACAATATTTCAGTGATTGTGACTGACTAAGTTTAAAGTGGTGATTGGATTGGGAGTTTAAACACTCTTTTTGTATATATTTACCCTCAGCCATATCAGGTGCCTTCCCCTGCCTTGACATTTGACCCATGGAAAACCCTCGGCACATTAAGGACGATGCGGACTTCAGGACCCTTTGAGCAAAGAAATGGGAGAGAGAGCTGCCATTACAACAAGAAATTACTTACAGCAAAGTCACAAAAACATGAAATATAATGAAAATATAAAGCGTAGCAGAGCCTGTATAACCCAAAAACAATATGGAGACAGGTTCCCATTGAAAGACTACGCTAGTCTGGAATTCAATATTTGACTGCAGTACACACCATAGACGTGTGTATATGTCTATGAGTACACACAACAAATGAGTGAAGTAAGATGGTAAAACTCACCGCGGTGAAAGCATCTTCCTTGTTCTTGACTAACCAATTTATAACAACACGGACTTCGTATGATATACAACAGCTCACTTCTTGCTTTACAGCGATGTCTGCAAGCTTTCTTGCACATAGACAGTACAAGCTTTCTTGACAATGATTCTCACTTCCTGGTCTGGGACGTATGTGTGGTTAACTACCGTACTTACCGTATTAAAAGCGCATAATAAAGACTTCTTCACTGACGGTCCAAATGTCAATGTTTTTGTTTTTTTTTGTTGTTTTCTTCTACTATCATTTAATTAAAAAAAAAATGAATAAAATACATTTTCCAGGGATCGTTGTAACATGCACATGTTTTGGATACAATAAACAAGATTGCAACGGAAACATAATAATAATGGGCTATATGCACGCATAAGTTCCGCATTTGACGTAAGGATGCTCGTCCATTTCCGGTTGTGGAGATTAAAGCGGAGGAAAACCACAGAAAACGGGATTATGGCAGAGTCTTCAATATTTACTGTCCTCCCGTCTTTGAAACGAAACGTACATACGTTTAGATGTAATTTTATATATAGTTATGTTTATTTAATATAATTTTAAAAAGAAGCATAAACACAACGAGGGGTGTCTGTTTTATCTGTTTTTGTGACTAACGTTTCATTAGTATAACCATGGAGTATAAAATTCAATATAAATTCTCGGTATTGCATTGGACTCTATGATCGGCGGAAGTTATCGAGCATCCTTAATCCTTCACCGGAAATAACGCCGTGCATAGAGCCCATTAAATAATAATAATAAGCTAATAATAAACATAACGGTCTAGCTTGTCCCGTAATTACGGCCGTTATACTTTTTTTTAAGTTTTCAAAGGAGTCAACGAGACTTTTTTGTTAAAAGGTCTTTTCAATAACTTTTTTTTGTAAAAAAATAAACGTTATTGAAACATTTGACATAAGTTTACACATCTTCTATAATCGATTATTCTAGAAAGAAATGTGCTTCCAAGTGCGCAAAGACATACATTCCTACAGTGTTTTGATCCCTAACGGTTGCGTCATGACGTATCTCGAATGGACAACTGCTATTGGTCCGCAAACGAAGTATTCAGACCCCTCCCCCACCGGCAAATATATGCCCGCTCGAGGTGATAAACAAAAGACATTTACAGGTGAAAACCAAAACAGCCGGGTCAGTTGCTGCATGCGAGTCCTTTACAGGAGAAACCCAAACTTGACAGCGGAGGGTAATACTCTGGGAAGCGAATGAAGAAACACCTTTTGCTTCAATTCACATATAGAGGACTAGTGAGAAAAGGAAAAAAGAGCAAAAGAAGAAAATGGCCAATTTTATTTTGCGTAAAGCGGAGCCCAAAGACGTGCCTGACATATTGCGACTGATAAAGGTAGACTTCACACTGGTTTATACATATGGATATTTTAAAGTAAAATATGTAAGATTAATATGCTGTGACTATGCTTTAAAAAAAAAAAAAAAAAACTTTTTAAATAGGTAACGTTATAAATGTGCTTTAGAATACGTTTATTTAATGTTCTGTCTCACAAAATCATATTACAAGTTATCATCACATCTATTCTGACTTTTATTTTAATGTTAAATTGTTTAAAATCAGTTTTATGTCGTTGATGAATTATCCAAAAATGACCCTGCTTGAAAACAAGAACATGATGTTCAACAGGAAGCATTTTTTCTTTACTACCTTCTGTAGGAACTCGCCAAGTATGAAGAAATGGAAGATCAAGTAATATTAACTGAGAAAGGTGAGACGACTCTATATGTCAAATGTGAAAACTCATCAATAGTTTGGCCGCAATGACAAGTTTTGTTTTTTAGATCTGCTCGAGGATGGATTCGGAGCTCACCCGTTTTACCACTGCGTGGTCGCAGACGTGGCAGCCGAGCATCAGAAAGTCGAGGGTAAAACACCAAGATGATCTTTAATGAACTGTTGAATAGCTGAGTAGTCTGTGCTGCAGTTGAATGTGAAAAGTTACGTCCTAAAAGGTTCTTACATCCCTTGTTTAAGTTTAACATTCATACACAAAGCACATTCATGCACAAGTAATGCAACTGTGTAAGCCACCAGTGTTCACACTTATAGGTTATTCTGTGATTGGATTTGCCATGTACTACTTCACCTATGATCCTTGGATTGGCAAACTGCTGTACCTTGAAGATTTTTATGTAATGAGAGAGTACAGAGGTAAGGGTGTTATTAAGGGTGTCTCTTATGAAACTGCAGGCATTTCCTCAATCCTTCTGACTAATTTCATACTTCACAGGTTTTGGAATTGGGTCTGAAATCCTGAAAACCCTCAGTGAAGTAAGTTACCCATTTTCAGACACTAATTCATAAAAAAATTGCTGACACAAATAGTAGAAGCAAGTAGTTTCAAACTCAAAATAGACCACAGATTATGTAAAGGTTTTATGTTGTCTTTCGATGGTTGTTGTTTTCATGTATTACACATCTAGATACTACCATAAAAAGTGGTTTCCTCCTACAGACAGCGGTGAAGAATCGTTGCAGCTGCATGCATTTTATCGTGGCCGAGTCCAACAAGGCATCCATCGACTTCTACAAGCGACGTGGGGCTTCTGACCTCTCATTGCAGGAGGGATGGCGACTTTTCAGGATTGATAAGGAGAATCTCCTGAAAATGTCTGCTGAAGAGTGAGCTGGCCCAAGGTTCCAGTGTTCAATGAGGGAGTAGGGATATCTCACAGCCATTTAAAGTTTAAAAAAAAAACTTTAATGGCTTTAAATATTTTATACACTGTGGGTATTAATCATGTTAACATAACAATTTAGTCTTGAGATGGAGTTATAGCAGTACTTATAGTCATATTCTATAGTGTGCATGTCAGATTAACTTATCAATAGTCATTTATTCGTTGAATGCATTGAAAATAAAAGAAAAAATCTAAAGTATTGGTATTTCATTTTAAGCATAAGATAACACCTTCTGGCATTCCTCCCACAACAAATGTGCAAGTCATAAGGGTAAAAGAGTAAAAGCATAGTGCACTGTACTGTAAATGAACAGAGAATGGATTGTTTCCTGGAGGGTGCTGTACTTTGGAGAATGTCCCTTTGTTTATGTCCAGACTAGGCCAAGTTCATGTTTCATGGGACAGATTCTTATCAACGTAGTTTGTGAAATGGTAATGTAATGTAAACTTATGAAAGTTTAAAATCTTTGTTAAACGATACTGAAAAGCTCTAGAGAATGCAATGCCAACACTGGTGTAGGATACTCTGGAAATACAATTGGACCCATCAGTAAGACCTGAAAGTCATTGAGCTGCTGAAAAGTATCAGAAATTTCACAGTGCAGGTCAAGTAGGTAATTCTCTGTTTCAGTTCAGTCCAATTGGTTGCAGTGTACATTTATAAAGTCAATTTAATTTACATAATGCACAGAAAAAGGTTAAATATACAGTTTCAGTAAACGCAGTCAAGTCAATAACATAATACAGCAAAAAAAAACAACAACCACAAAACGAATACAGTGCATTGATGAGAGAACACAATCCAGGTGCAAAACAGGAACTTCTCAAAACTTACTGCTTAGTCTCAACTTGATTTTTGGCTGTCTGATTTATGCGTCTTCTCAACCTGTGAAGAAAAGGGTAAACCATTACAAAGAAGGAAAAGTATTCATTCCAACATTTTAGGAGGCTCTTGGTGTTAAAGATAGATGCCATCAAAACAGCCTCTCACGATTGATTTTGGGGTTACCTTGCTAGATTATTGTGATCGATTTTTTTGTAAAGAAACCGATACATTTATCAAAGATGCGTTAAATTGATTAAAAGTGACCATAAAACCATTTATAATGTAACAAATTATTTTCTATTTCAAATAAATGCAATTCATCAAAGAATTAAAAAAAAAACAACAATGCGTGAAAGCAGCATGAACCATATCTTTTGAATGGAAGTGAAAGTTTCTTCAAGAATGCGGCATAACAATTTAGTCAAAGGCAATTAAACCTTTCTTTGGTCGGAACCTGCTCAAGACATTAGCACTGTATGCACTCTTATCTTGGGAGAGTGGGAAAAAAACAGGTCAACACTGTGCCAGGTATAAGATTTCTCCTCACTTTGTCCTTGGATGGTGACTTCCCTCTCAGCAGCTCCTCAAAAACAACTCGCCCTTCTGAACCCCGGGAGAATATGTAGTCTTTTGTGGTCTATTAAAAACAAACAGAAACGCGTTGAGAAAACACAATCAGGTCATATTACTCATCATCAGTAGACTATACAGTTCTAATATTTAACTCACCCTAGAGTGGTTCCAAACCTGCATGAGGTTCCATAGTACTTTCCACTGTACTTCCATAGTATTTTTTCCCCATACTATACAAGTTAATGTTTGATTACCAACATTCTTTAAAATATCTTCTTTTGTGTTCAGCAGAAGAAAGAAATTCATATAGGTTTGGAACAACTTGAGGGTGAGTAAATGACAGAATTTTCATTTTTGGTGAACTTATCCCTTTAAATGTTGTACTTTTGAATTTTAAACAATTGTGCAAATATTAAAGCATTAACTTACTAAACTTATTGTTCCAGTGAGGCAGGGTATATTAATAGTATATTATTCACTTTAATTGACTGAGCTTATGCATGGACAAATTCTCAAAATATCCCTCCACTTTCTAGTTTTACACTTATGGATAAAGAGGAAGGAACACAAGACTATCAGAACACACAATTCACAGACCGAATTTCCTCCAGGCAAGCGCTGTTAATATCCCAGGGTGCAAGTAATTTTCAAAGCCTCAGTTACTGCTGTGTATTGGGCGGCCTGCCGAGAAACATCCAGACTCTGTCCATCTGTACAGAAAGAAATGTATACTTGCCCTGGCAACAGAGGCGGCATGTTGTGGGTAGAACATAGAGGCGCTGAGAGCCATCAGCCCAGTGGGGAACATCAGTCTCTTGATTGTACTGCCTGTCCAGTCAAAACAAACCAAAACAGTAATTAATAATAACACAGAACAGATGTTACAGGTCAAAGACCTTGATATGATTAAAATGGAATAAACAATAACAAATAATGAATAAGAAATCATACCTTTGGCTAAATAAAGTCCCAGAATTCCAGAAAAACCTATAACACCCACACTGGCATAGAACTCAGATGGAGGGTCATTCAAAAATGCATATATATCTGAGAAAAAAAAAACAAAATACTGTTTAATATATACACAAACAGTAGTACAGATAAGGGGTTTTAAACTGAGGTCCAGGGATGGAGTGCTAGGGGGTCAGAGGTAATGTTTAGAAAAAAACAGTGTTGAAAATGTAATTGTATAATTGATAAAACATAAATAAATAAGATTAAAATATAAGAAAGTAATTCATACAAAATAATTACATATATATACTGTATATATATATATATATATACACACACACACAAATGAATTAACAAAAACAATAAAAAATTATTCAATACCATATATCAAAATTAATTATAAAAATACACAAATAAACACAAAAATAGGAATAAAATAAATAATACGTAGTAAAGTACTATAGTGAGTAAAAAAACGTAGTAAAGTAACAAACTAAATTTAATATATAATATTTTACAAATATTATATATTTTTAATCATTTATAATATTTATTTTTCACAGTATAAAATTGTGTCTCTGCCTTTTAAATTTTAGGATGGGGGTCCTCACATTGAAAAATCATGATAAGTGTGTGTTTTTGTCCGTACCCTTTACAATATTTTGAGTGTTACTCACTCCTGGCTCAACAGTCTTGTAGTAAGACTATGATTAAAAGAGAGAACATTTTAGGTTTATTTTGTAATAATTTATCACAATCATACATTAGTGGCATAATAATTGTGGCTAAAAAAATCCAACATAACTTGCCTGTACTTTCTCCACGGTAAACTGTGTCTTTTCCTGGAGGTGGACAAGAGTCATAAAGAAATCATGAGAACTATAAACCAAACATGACATTTAAATAATAAATGAACACATAAAATATGGAGGAGATGCATAATACAGATATCCAGATATCTTATTTATCTGCATCTACAATGTTTCCCTAGTCAAGCTTTTCTTTCTAAATCAGTTTTAAAGCATACCTCAAACCATGAAATATAAGGTTGTGCTGTCTTTCTCAGAGATGCCACACCTTGCTCAACATGACCAACCTCGGGCTCCTCGTACCTCAGCTGGGACTCAGGAGTGTTATAGAGTGAAAGCTGAAAATAAAAGGGGTATGTTAAAAACACTTAACATCAAGCAAATAACCTCCTCGTTCTCACCCACTCCAACCCAAAACAAACTTCACAGGAAGTACCTCATCAGTCTTAAGGGTGGTGTTATTTTCTTTGGCCTCGCTTGCAGCGAAAACAGTGGCAGACATCAGGCCAAGGGCTCCAGGCACTGCCATGGGCAGCACCACCTGCAAAGGAAAGTGCACAGCACAGAAAACAAACATTAGAAATAAGTACCCCAGAAGCAGTGCAAATAATTTATTCGTATATGTTTGAGCATTGGACAACTGAAAAACAGTATTGCAATGGAGCAAAAAGTAGCACGTTTTAACATAATAGGAGGTGCCTTGTTTATTAGGCAGAACACCGAAGCATCAGTTTAACATGATTCAGGAGGAGACATGTCACTCTCTAAAGAGACTAGAATTCCAGGCATAACATAATTTATTAGAAAACGACAGTAATAGTAATCATGCAGCCAGAAAATTATAGTTCTTAAACATATGAATAGATTATAATCCGGTAAAATGTAAACATTGCAATAAAAAAAAACTTATCCGATCAAGCTACAGTTAGCTTAGCTAACGTTACATCAGTGCAGTAGTGCTACCTATGGTGCTGTAGCCAATGCGCGCATTTTTAAAACAATCTCAGCTTTCTTAAAATGCATAATTATCAACGTTAATTACAAATATGAACACAGTAGTATTTCCATTATTTAAATACATACACATACATAGTACCTTGGCTATTTTCCTAAAATTTGACATTTTTTCTCAAGAACAGCGCTCTGCTACACAGGGTTGCCAGGTCTGCACAACAAAACCAGCCAAATTGCTAATCAAAATTAACCCAATCACGGCCAAAATTAGTCAAAAAGCGTTCTGGGGTGTTTCCAATGTTCCGGGCTATTTCCTACGTGCCAGTGGGTAAAAAAAATTCGCTTCAACCCGTGCACTACACAAATAACCCGCGGAAACAATGTAAAAGCATGTGTAAAAGTAGCTCCAATTGACTTGGCAACACTACTGCTGCTACGGCAAGCATGTAAGGACACGCAAGAGATGTAAATATTTTAAACGTTTTTGTGAACAATTATGTGAATTTATCATATTATTATCAATCTCGCATTCTCCTTGTTGTTGATCTAAGATTTTTTTTTACTACCGTATTACAAACAAGATATGCATTTCATAATTTTGTGTTTCAATCATGTGTTAACAACAGTGTTCATTTTTTAATGATTAAAAATTGTTTATTTAAATAAAAATTATTCAAAATAAATATATATATTATAAGATGTTACATTATAGATATTAAATTGTTGGCAACTAACGGAAACTAAATATAAGTTAGTAGCCTATTGAAATGACTAAAACTGCAATAAAAATAAATACTGATAAGAACAAGCACATAACAAAATTACTAAAACTTAAACAAACTGAAAACATACACTATACATTTTAAATGTTATACTAATTTATTAACACTATTTGTCCGATTGTTAAAACCATGTACTTAAAATCCCTTTTACAACATGGAAAAGACACCCTATGAAATAACCCTCAACAGTTTAATCTACATAGAGCTATACAATTATTCAGAAATATATATATATATATATATATATATATATAGTTATTATACAGCTATACAGTTGTATAATATATTATAATACAATATATATAATAAACTATAATATTATATAACTATACAATTATTCATAAAACTTCATATAGAGTATAGCCTATAAAGACAAAAAAAAAAAAATACTACTAGACAGGCTACTTAAAGAACAAGAGACCCAACCAATAAACATGACTTAATAAGTAACTGGTGGTGGTACAATCTCAACATCTTTTGGAGTGAGTGGGGAAGGAAGAACAATACCAAACTTCTCTCTCAACAACTCTGTAATTTCTTCATTTGAAAGATCTGTAGTGGTTTTCACAGCTTGTCCACCCTCTGAGGTCAAACTGGTTATAATCAGTCTGCGGCCCATGATAGTGATTCTTCCAGTGGGCAGTAAGAGTGAACAGAGAGATTTGCAGAAGAAAATCGAGCTAACAGAACTCTGATGGTAGTCACACATGGCTCTGAAATCATCTCTTTCACGTGACTCCAGGGTGAATTTGTACTGTTCCACCCAACATTCTTCTGCACTCCCTGATACCTCAGTCTCAGATTTCATTTCCATGAAAATGAAGTCTCCCTGAGGTCTGATTCGATACACTCCGTGGCTCTGGGCTTGAGGACTATATGTCTCAAGGGAAAGAGGGAGCTGGAATCCAGATCCAAACCCAACATCACAGAGCCATCTGTGTCCATCCAGCTTCACCATCATGATGAAGTGGTCGAAGGGAGGCCCGTAAGCGCCGGTGAACCGATTCCTGACCTGTGCGGAGAGAATAGTCACGTCAAAGCCCATCTGAGACAAAAGCCAAGAGAAGAGTCCATTGTTCTCAAAGCAGAATCCCCCACGGCGCATGAGGACGATTTTTTCATATAGAAGTGGCAACTCAAGCCTGACCCGCTGTCCAATATGCACAGTGAGGTTCTCAAAGGGAACTGCCATTAAATGATTCAGGTGAACGTATCGTAATGTCTCCAATGTCGGAGGACATAAACCCGAACAGCTGATACGTGCCAAATACTTCTGAATATCCATTGTTGTGCAAATATCGCTTGTAGGTTAGTGTAGCAAAGAAAAGTTTAAATAAAATAAAGCTGCTTATCACATTAACGTTAGACAACCTCATGCAAGCTTTCACTTTGCACCAGAGACTTTGAAAGTCGTAAACTCGGACTTTTCACGGAAGTCCACGTCTTATGCTAATGAGCATGAAGTCAAGAAAGTCTTATAATTACATCTTTAACTGTGTGTAATGTTTCTGTAACACGATGAAAATCATACAGCAAGTTCCTGAATAAAATAAATAAATAAAATAAAATAGACGTAAACGGAAAGTTTCTGTTTGAGTGTTGCCAGATATCCAAAGAGAAAGCAACTCGGTTAAAAAAATCAATTCCTTGGAAATAAGTAATCAAATATATTAATTCAACGCTAAATATTTTTAATGTATGTCTATTTTGAGTATAGTCTCGAGAAATAACGAATTCTTAGAATAAACCCCTCAGTTCCATTTTTAAGAGAGAGAAAGCCATTTACGGCGGACATGGCAACATTTGCTCTGGTTAACGCCCTTTGTATTGGCATTGACCAATCAGATCTTGGAGCCCTTTTCGGTTTCTAGGTGATGCTTGCAAACAACCCGTTGCTGTGGAAAATAAAGATGCAAGTCGCTGCTGTCCTATAGGATGACAAAGTAGTATACTACAAAGGACTAGGATATATTTATTTAGAAGGACCAAGGACATAACTCTGTATTTAAAATAAACTTAACTCAAAGTGGTAAGTCCTTTAGTGCGTTAAGAGTAGATGTTATGTAGTTTAGCTTGAGCACCTGTGCTAGCCTATTTAAGTACCACAATTTTCTAACTTTCCTTTTCCATATCATGTATTGAATGATATCTTGACTGTTTTATTTGTGCTCACTTTCTTAAAATACAACAGAGTGATGCCTCCTCCTGAAACAATGTATTGCGCCCAGCAGATCAACATCCCCCCAGAGCTGCCTAATATTCTGAAGCAGTTCACCAAAGCTGCAATTAAAACACAGCCATGTGATGTGCTACAATGGGCAGCTGAGTAAGTGCTGTTGTTAAAAAAAGAAAAGAAAAGTGTCTTATGATTACCAAGGCTGCAATTTAATTGAACAATCAAAAACAGTAATATTGCAAAAATATTATTTACCATTTAAAATCAGTGTTTTCTATTTGAATCAATTTGAAAATGTTATTATTTGTTCCTGTTATAGCTGAATTTCCATCATAATGTCACATGACCTTCTGAAATCCTTCTAATATGCTAGGTTGCTGAATTATTTTCAATTATTAATAATGGTTCTTATTATTATCAATGATGAAACAGTTGTGCTGTTTAATTATACCTTTATAATAATAAATTACATTTAAAAACAATAATAAAATGCAAAGTATTTTAAATTGTAATAATATTTTACAACATTACTGACTTCTTTAAAAAAAAAATCGTAATTATTCTAAACATCTGATCGGTAGTGTATGATGTAGCCTATGCTCTGGTTTATATTGCAATGGAAATCTAATGCAGTATGACAACAATAAAACTGCTACTCCTTCAGCTATTTTTCAGCTTTATCAAAACAAGGTCAGGACATATCAGTCAAGGAGAGACTGGAAATGCCAGTGGCAACTCAGAAAACGGACACAGGACTGACACCAGGCTTTCTAAAAATCCTTCATCAGCAGGTTTGATCCACTGCATCTCTCTTGTATGTTTTATACACAGTGCATCAGATTATGTATGAAAATTGATGAGATTTATCTTGCCTGTAGTTCGCACCTAACGAAATCATTACAAAAGAGGAGCTCATTTGGAAGTGGAAAGATCTGTGCTTGCCAATTGAACAGCTTGACACAATCCTTGCCCTTGGCAACTTCGGTGAAAATATCAATTGGATGGAGTTTTTTGCTTTAGGATGCAGTGCATTGGGTGGGGTGAGTAGCTATAAATATCTTATTTATGTACTTTAATGAAATTGTGTGGTGGTGGATTCATTTGAGGTGTTGTAATTCTACTAACTGACTCTAGATGACAGTGTTGGATTTTTAATGGTCTCAACATTCAAGGAGTTGAACAAGGGTGATTCATAAAGAGTGATTCATACACTCTAAAAAATGCTGGGTTGTTTTAACCCTGTTTTGGGTCAAATATGGACAAACCCTGGAAAATTTTTAATCCAATGTTTGAGTTTGTCCATATTTAACCCAAATTTGGGGTAAAACAACCCAGCATTTTTTAGAGTGTAATAAATTCATTCAAAATGAGCTAAATTATGTTGTAAAATGTAAGTTTTGAAAGAAAGCCCACTGTACTGTTCACACAGGCCATCATGAGTGCTTTGAAACATGCATGTGAAATACTCACAGAGGACACTGAGGGTGGTTCAGCCCAGATTCCTTTCGACACATTTCAGAGGCTGTACACATACTTGGCCCATCTGGATGGAGAAATTCCTAAAGAACAGATCGACGGCTTGTTGCACGGTTTAGAGGAGTGAGTACACGCACACACACGCAAACTCTCTCTGACACACACAGACACAGACCCAAAATGGTCTGATCAAGATGACCAATTGCAGAAGCAAAAAAACGCAAAACGCTTAATCATTCTGACAGCAAGCAGTTTGCAGACGTTGAGAAATGAGAAAAGGCTTGATTTTGAGGGCGATAATTTCTTTCCTGTTTTACTTTTGTTGCCAAAGAGAAGTTTTAGGAGGTTATAAGTAATAAAGAATAGAAATTAATTGCTTTGACATTTTAGCTTGAGGTGTATTAGTTTTTTTTATTGTTTAAATTTACACCTGTGAAATTACAAAGCCTTCTGTTGTTTCTTTCTTTGACCCCCCCCCCCCCCCAAAAAAAAAAAAAAAAAAAACTGTTCTATATTCAAAACTACTTCAAAAAATGACTAAAAAGATACTCATAAAAAAATAAATACGACTTAAAAAGTAGTTTTGCAATTGCATAATTTAATATATTTGGCCCCATAAATACTGTCCCAGGTTTAATGACTTGACATGTTGAAATAAAACATGTTTGTTAGTTGAAATATTAATTTAGTATATTTAATTACCATTTAGACATTACATCAGAAGGTGCTTTGTACTTACCAGTCCTTTGAAAGCCAGTCATTGGTGTTAAGCAATTTGAAAGACTGAAATGAAAGACTTATTGACTCTTTTGCAATTTAAATTATGAACTAAAGACAAAATGGACATGGACTTACACAGCTTTTACAATGTACTATAGAACCTCTAACTAATAAAAATTATTAAAAAGTCCATATTGTAATTAAATAATTTCTTAAAACAGTAATGACCCTTAAAAGGATAGTGCATCCAAAAATGAAACTTCTCTCATCATTTTTTCAGCCTCACATAGTTACAAACTTAGCAAATCGTTTTTTTGTTTTTTTTGTCGATGCAATGAAAGTCAAAAGTCCAATATTGTTTTAGAACCCACAAGCAAAAACAGTTTTGTGTTTCAGGGAAGAATGAAATTCATAGAGATTTGGTTTCATTTTTGGATTCACTACCCTTGTAGCTTTTGTTATCCAATAATTTGATGTCATTGTTACTGTGGGAATTTTCGCAGTGATGTCATACCATTTTACCAGAACCATTTTAGTTCCCCAGAGAACCTTTCAGTAAAGTTTTTTTTTAACGAAAATAAAAACTGGCAGAGGGACAACAGGAAAACAGATAAGACTTGTCTTCAGCTTTACATGTCTGTATATGTGTAGCAGTCACTGCTACAGCTGAACCAACCCAACATCCAACCAACCCAACCCCAGTGTGCCCTTTATAACTCTCAAAAGATACAGCAGCACACAAGTTTTCTAGTGTTCATAGAAACAGGAACTCCTGAAACAAAAGCGGTCTATTCCTGGGAATACACAAATGTTTGGGAAGTGTGTTAGTGAGACAAATTAAAGTGAAAAATAAATGAAAAGAGGATGGTAGTATGTAATTAATAAGCAAAAACCGTTGTTCTCATAAGATCCGGCCAAGTGCAGTTGAATGCAGCAATCTCCTGTCATGATGAAAAAACAGATTACACATGACATTTAATAGAAAACTTTGTTTTTCCTGCTTTCAGAGAGTGCCAAGGAGGAATGGTGCAACCTTCAGATTTTACAAGCTTCCAAAGCGCTGAGAAGTCGGAGTAGAATCTAATCCAGTTGTACCTCAGGTGGCAATATCTTACATCACGCTCTAAAAATATTGATCCTAGTTACTATTGTATGTCCTGTTTGCACTCTTTCTTCTGTATATTGTGAGGTGATTTGCATATTTAACCTAAATAAATCCTCAAATCTCCAATCGAGGTAGCCTGGATTAATGTTACAAAAGTGAAAGGAAGCCAAAACAGGGCTACTGGTCTATTAGCTGCTTATTCGAGCATTATAAGCTTTCAGTTTCAAAATGATTGCACCACTGTGGTTGCCATGTGCTTCTATTTGAAAGAAACTATATTCTGTTGCAATCAATTGTACCACCTCTCATATCTACCTCAACACACATGTTAATGATATTCTCTTCAGCATAACCCAACCCCCACCCATCACATAAACATGTGCAAAACATTAAAGTTTTTTATTTTTATTGTTATTTTTTACAATTGCTAGGACACATTTATCGATAGCTAGGTCATTTTTTAAAAACTGGTCACACAGTGAGCATAACAGCAGTTCCCTTTCGTTCGGGAACTCCTACGTCTCGTCAGAGGAGTTTCCAACGAATCGGGATCACGCTAGGGAGACCAATTGCCTTCGAGTGAATTTAAACGAGCCAATGGATATTGGCATGCAGGACTTGCATTCTGCAGTATAGTTTAATTCTTGTTTTGTACAGAAATGTGTCTTAGCGAGGACATTTGGCCCTCACAAGTAGCCAAACCTGTACACATACATACATTACATTGAAAACAATGACAGGATCTATCACATTTTTGTACCACACATTTGTCTTTGTCACACTGTTACATTTGTGTGTTTTGAAGAAGCAGAGGCACAGAAACCGGCAGTCACGCAGTTGGTCTGATTAATTACCTTTTTGAGGAAAGAGACTAATTTGGAACCAAAAAGAGGTACTCAACCTTCACAGACCTATAAATGAAAGGCATTTTCTACGAAAATATTAACTGATTGACCCCTAAGTAAGCTAATTTTAGATTGAAAGCCCTTTCTGGATGATGATAAATTCCCACCAGTGAGATGTTGTTCACAACAATATTTGCAACAAGGATAACTATTTAAAATTATAGGTTTTGAATTCGAAACAGACTCAGAAATAATTAGTTTGACACAGACACATCACTCTTGGACAAGTTGCTTTTGGATCGACAGAGAATCCCACATCAACCTTTTCCAAGGATGAGGTTCTCCTTCTTGATCAGCTCCTGGGGATTTATTAACCTAAGCAGGCCAGAGTGCTGAGCTAATGTAATTGTCTAAGCCGAAATAGCCAAGGAGCAGCAAGGCTTCTTTTATTTCTGAGAGAGATGGCAGTCAATTCCTGTTCTGATCCCTCACTAACAACTCACTCCAACTGAAGAAGCAGAAAGAGCATTTCAAAATGTTCAAATTGCATGTCAAATTACAGTGAATGGGGCAATTTTTTGAAGGATTTAAAAGCTAAAATAGTTTAAGTAAGGAACAATTAATGACGTGGCCGTTACATTATTTTTCAATAATTCACAGAGTCTATTTCTCCGCTTATACTACGGTTCACACACCTTTTGTCCTTAAAACGCTGATGTGTGTAGGACTACAGTAATTTCTTAAGCATCTAATCCCAAATTTCCAGTGCTAATTCCAGTACAAAAAGTCATTTTAGAGCTAGTAACAGAGGCTCGAGTCATTGATAGCAGACTAATGCAGTTATTGAGAGAGAGAGAGAGAGAGAGCGATTAACATGTGTGAATTACCTGAGTCTGTGAATCTCTCAGGCAGCAGTGTTAGCAGCCGCGTCTCTACTGTAAGTTCATCTGCTCCAAGGACAGCGAAGTTATTACCTCGCTAGTGAGAAATGTCATGCAGCTTTTAAGTTGCAAAGTATTTTATTTATAAAATCGCCAGCGCAGTTTCTGTCAGCGCAGTCTCATCCCAAGACGTCATATAACTGACGTCTTGGGACGTCTTTTGACCATACGTCAACATCCGCCTTTTTAGGGTACCCTTAAAAGTCGGTTAGATGACGTTATCGGATCCTAACCCTACCCCAGACCTAAACCTACCAAGGTAAAGCGTCAGTTGAATGACGGCCGGGGATCGTAAACTAACCGACGTTTAAGGGTACCCTAAAAAGGCAGATGTTGACGTATGGTCAAAAGACGTCCCAAGACATCAGTTATATGACGACTTGGGATGAGACTGTGTTATTTCTGCGCATGCAGGTGTGTATCCGTACTGAATGTGTGCGTGTTGGAATGGGAGAGACAGCGGGAAAAAGAGAAGAGAATACTGTATGTGCTGTATATGTAATAAATAATACATTAATAAAACGTAAATTAATGGCCATAAAAAAACATGGAAGTAATTTGTCATTTTTATCCTATTGTTTACTACATGTATTTGCTCGGTCAGTGTCGATGTGGGTTTTGGTATAGGTTGTAAAGCATGATGTAAAGACCTTTGAAATAACTCAAATTCTTTGTGTTCCAAGTGATATGGAACTGTAATGTGTTCAAGACCTGCCTGGAACTAATAATTGCACACCTTAGAACGTTTGTCAACTAATCAGATTCAAGTATTCAGCCCTGTCGTATTATAATAAATAAATTAAAAAATAAAATAAAATAAAAAGCACTTACAATTAAAACATTTGTAGTATTTGAGCTGTAGAGCTGTTTAAATCGTAATTTTTACAACCGGTTTGGGACGTTTAGGGTCTGTGGCATTTGGAGTTGTAAAATAAATTTTAATTACTTTAATTACTAATTAAAAGTAATTTTTTCTCACTAAAATCATGTTAACTCTCATATTGGTCATATCTTGTGGCTATATTGCTGATAGGATTTTAATGTTTATGTATTGGGTCCATTCACAGCTCCAACTATGCCAGACTGTATCCCAGATTTTTGCTTCTTATTTTTTTAAAGGGTGGACAAGTGGGAATAACTTTTTTGTGGTAATCAGCATTATGATACAAATTGTAAATTTAATAAATAGCTATTTTATTTACTATGGTGTAGCATTGTGCAGAGTATATAGTGGGATATATATGGAGGGTATTCATTCACAGTGAATACAATTCACTATACAATTCACAGTGTGAATACAACTGCGTCACTGGCTGTAAACTGATAGTCAGGTCATGGCAGTTGGTTTACTCATTTTTGGCAGGCAGCACAGGTTACTTGTTTTTAAAACCACAGTACTTCCCCTCTGTCACAGATGTTTAACGGTCAAACACATGCATACAAAGCGGTGTGGACTGCTTTGCTGTATCTTGACTGATAAGATCACAGATGCAAGTGAAGGGGATGGAGCCCGAGCTCCCAGCTGTTCGGGGCTAAACGACTCACTAATTAGACACAGCAATTATGGCACTTATCTAAGAACTAAGAGGAAAAGGGGGATAAGATTGTGGAAAAAGCTTTAGCTTGTAGAGCACACACAATAATGTGTGACAGAGGCGTTTGTGAGAAGTTTGAGTGTGTATGTAATTTCCCTAATAAGAACTGATTTTTTTAAAGTGCATGTGAATGACATCATTTGAATGGGACTGGAGTGAAGAAAACTGAAATGAGGCAATACAAGGTCCACAGTTTTTAAAGATGTGAAGTCTAACAAAAATGAGAGAAAAAACAAGTGTTGGAAAGTTGATAAATTACTCTGCTATTGTCAGGGACATCCCCGACACAGCCACTGAGAAAAAACGGAAAACCCATGATGATGGTTAACAAAACTTTGTACTTTCCAGAAATGAAAAGTTTCAGCAGCTTTGTGTTTAGTGAACATAGTTAACGTATAGGCTATATTTTACATTTTATATATTAAAAACGTATTTTTATTCAAACAAAACATATTTTAATTCAAACATATTTTCTTTCATATGTTTTGTGTCATTTTAAATGTTCGTATTAACTGAATTTAATCTGAGTGGGGGGATGCAAATATGCAAAACTGGAGAGAGAGAGAGAGAGAGAGAGAGAGAGAGAGAGAGAGAGAGAGAGAGAGAGAGAGAGAGAGAGCATCTAATCGGATTATGGAGGCAGAGTTTTGTACCGCACGCGTCTATTTCTCCTCTTATCTTCAACGTGAATGTCCGGCGTTTCCACACTTAATGCTGTTTTTTGGAAACATCACACTATCTGAAAAGTTTTTCCTGGGCAGAAATTGCGACATTCTGAAGATTATTTCACATTAGACGACATGGAACTGCAAATATTTATTATTGGGACTTTTCGGTTTCCACACGAGCTTCTGCTCGTCTCCGGGTGTTACTGAGGAGGAACACTATTGACATTTCGCGTTATAGAGACATCAAGTTATTAAAATGAGTTGACAAAACTACGTTAAATTATTTTTATATGGACACTAATCTTATTTATAATCTGTAGGATATATGAGTGGGGCAACATGACGTCGCACACACTTAAAAGAAGTTTCGAACCTCAGTTTGGAGAGGCTCATTTGGGATATATTGATTTTAATGTAGCCTACATAACGTTAAATGCCGACGAAGGAGACCAGGAGTTTGATCCGCATGACTTGAGGATTTTATCAAGGGGTTAAATGGTTCTGATAACAGACAGCAGGGATGGCGGAGGATCATCTCCAAGAAAGATTCAACCACTTAAACATGCTACAAGCGGCCAGAACTGTCCCACTATAGTGGAGGAATCACCTGATCGAGCAGGCGATGACGATTATGATGAATATCTCGGCTCGTGCGAGACGGAAGGGAACGATGAGGACTTCGAGGAATTGGGGGACTTCTCAGAACTGCCGGATGACAGGAGTATCGTCTCAGATGACTCATTTTATCCACCGGACGATGACTTTGCGGACTCCGAGAGAACCCCTTCTCCGGAGAGTCCAGAACCGCTGTCCTTTTTTCAAGCGTGTTGCAAAAACAATGCGCTCATAGTGAAATTCATGATAAGACAAGGTGTTACGGAGGAGGACGTTCGGGAGACGGACAAAAACAAAAGAGTAAGTATGAACATCCCACTTTACAGTACACTTATTATAAACTAGCCTACATACAGTGAAGTGTTTAACAACGATAAGATTCGTGAACAAATCTGAGTCGGAGTTATCAATGAACTGGTTGAACCGTTCATTATCGGTCTGAAGGATTCGTTATTTCGTTTGCGATTGGACTGAATCCGGAGTGTGAGAATCGGTCAGAGAAAGTAAATCTTTTCGAATCTGTCCTTCTAACGTTAGGTCTATTCCGGGTTAAATGGATAATTCAACCCAAAAATAAAAATTCTGTCATCATTTACTCCTCAAGTTGTTCCAAAGCTGTATGAGTTTCTTTTTTTTCTGCTGAACACAAAAAGAATGTAACCAGACAGTTCAGTTGACACTCTGTAGCCATTAAAGGTTGTATCAGCAATTTCAGGCCCAAACAAAAATTATCTCATTCATCTAATCTTTCCTAACGACCCGCTAGCTGCCTGCCGCAGGCTGACAAAAAAAAAAAAAAAAAAAAAAAAAAAAAAAAAACAGGCTCTGAGATCTGCACACAAAAACAAATGGGTACAACCACCACTCAAAATCAAAATAAACAGTGTTCTAACCAATCACCAACAGGGGCGGGTTTTGTTTGTTTTTGCGCTAGTGCATGGCGCCTGCACACAAGAATAAGCCAGCGCTATCAACCTTATGCTATCAATGTACTAGATACATTTAACATGGAAGAGGCAATCCCCAAGAAGAGAATGAGGTTTAGGGCGAGGAGAGGGAATAATATCGTTATTCGTTAAAGAAACGAATAATAATCGGGAAGGCTTTTGAACGGTGGAGAGAACTCAAAGAATTGAAAAAAAAAATTTAATCAGACAACGCAAGGTTACAATGTTTCTTCTGGACAGGTGAGTTGCCTCTAGTGCTGAATTTTTTGTTTGTGAACTGAGTGTAAAAATATAATTGAGTAATATAATATGATATAATTGAGTGAAGCTCTACTAAACTTGAAAAGTGTGTGAGTTTTTGATGCACGAAGCGGGAGGGAGGGGCGAGCTAACTTGATTTGTTTGGGATCTCGCTTCAAACACAAACAGAAGTGACGTCACCCACAATCGCTGATACAACCTTTAACTTTCATTGTAGCCTATTTATTTTTTTTTTTACTACAATGGAAGTCTACCGTTGTGATTCTGAACTGTTTGTTTAAGCCTACCAACATTCTTTAAAATAGCTTGTGTTCCACAGAATAATGACAGAACTTTAATTTTATGGGTGAACTATCCCTTTAATAAATCACTGGTCCGGGTTGCTGCCTTCTCGTTCGAATAGTGTGTTGCCTAATAATTCTTACCTGTTTAATTGTGATTGTCACAATAACTTATATTAAGGCACTGCCCATAACAACTGCCTTACATTGATAAACTGATCCTACAAAACCCAACACTTCTTGTTGGGGTAGTGTGATATTTTGTTTGAATGTGGTAGTTTTATATACTTTCTCTAAAACGTGTTTTTAAATGTCAGAAAGTCAGTTAGACAATCAATTCTACTTGAACATCAAACACAAGTTTAAAGTTTGATTCTGGTAGACTGCTGGGACCTCTAAGGCATCTGCAAAACAACTGTAGGGGTGCAAAGTGTTTAAAAGTAATGCACAAATAATTTGCAGGCCTTTAGGTTTTAATGGAGTTGCACAGTCCCAAAAACAAGCCTCTTGCCTTTTCTCTTCTAGCACAATCCTTGTCATTCCTCGCAAAAATGAGTCCCTCCCTGAGTAACATCAACCTCCCAGAGCTTGAGCCCTCGACAGTTCAGAATGTATCACGTTACAACTTAAAAGCTTGGATTTTGGAGAATGTGTCTAAAAAAGTAAAATCAATACACTCAATAAAGAGAAGCTGATATGATGTCATGGCTAATGCAGTCCTGATAGCCTAACACACAGCTCTATAGGAGAATGACTGTTGAATGCTTTTAAAGAACCTCAAGAGCTCCACTTCACACAGGCGCTTCCCTTATCTCATCTGTCATCACTCTTCTATACTGGACAGTTCAGAGACACAGGCACAGGATTTCCCCACTAATAGTTCCAGCATGTGCACTGTTCATCTGAGACATCTCTGCATGGTGTAATGCTGTAAATGGGGTTATTAGTCAGTGCCCTTTCATAGGCCGAATGACATGGCAAAAAACAACAACACACAAAACATGTAGACACAGTAGTGGCTTAAAGTGATTTTTGGAGGGGGAACATTCGTTTTTAATGACCCCACATCTTTCATAGTTCGTATACATATAAAGTTGTGTTCAATATAATCGCAGTGTGTTTAAAAAAACTGTTTATTCAAGATCAAAACATGAAGAAAGATTTGTTTTTACTTAATAGAAAGTAAAGAAAAGGGAATATTAGGCTGTTCAAAGTCAAACAGTTACTGTATAAACTGACAAATGCGTGAAGATTTAGCTTTCTTGTGAATCACTGAACTAATATTTAGTTGTCTAACCACGGTTTTTGAGAACTGCTTTACATCTGTGTTGCATGGAGTCGACCAACTTCTGGCACCTGTGAACAGGTATTCCAGCCCAGGACGATCGCACTTCAGACCACAGTTCCTCTGCATTTCTTGGTTTTGCCTCAAAAACAGCATTTTTTATGTCACCCCACAGGTTTTCTATTGGATTAAGGTCCAGGGATTGAGCTGGCCACTCTATAACGTTAATCTTGTTGGTCTGGAACCAAGATGCTGCTAGCTTTAGCTTACTGGTGTGTTTTGGGTCGTTGTCTTGTTGAAACACTCATTTCAAGGGCATTTCCTCTTCAGCATAATGCAACATGACCTCTTTAAGTATTTTGATGTACTGTGATCCATAATCCGTAGTATGCGATAAATAGGCCCAACACCATGGTATGAGAAACATCCCCATATCATGATGCTTATGCCACCATGCTTCACAGTCTTCACAGTGTACTATGACTTGAATTCAGTGTTGGGGTCTAGACCCAAAAAGAACAATCTTGCTTTCACCAGTCCACAAAATATTACGGCATTTCTCTTTAGGCCAGTCAATGTGTTCTTTGGCAAATTGTATCCTCTTTTTTAACAATGGGACTTTGCGGGGGCTTCTTGCTGATAGCTTAGCTTCACATAGGCATCTTCTAATTGTTGCTGTAGTTATGGGTAACTTTAGATCTTCTTTGATCACACTGGAGCATGTCTTTGCCATTTTGGCTATTCTTCGATCCATTTGAACCGTTTTCTTCCACGTCTTTCTGGTTTTGGTTGCCATTTTAAAGCATTTGATACCATTTTAGCTGAGCAGCCTATCATTTTCTGCACTTCTTTATAAGTTTCCCCCTCTCCAATCAACTTTTTAATCCAAGTACGCTGCTCTTCTAAACAATGTTTGGAAAGGCCCATTTTATTCAGATCTTCAGAGAGAAATGCACTATAACCACCATTTTACAGCCCAGTACTGCCTTCATCCTTAAATAAGGGCCACTTATTGACAGTTTTTTCACAGAATGATTAACTTCACTAATCAAACTCCACTCTGCTATTATTTTGAACACACCCCTTTCAATTAATTATTCAATTATACAGAATTAGCAATATACATGCCATGACTGTTACTCTACTACACTACTACTAATAAATTACTTGCCATGTAGAAATATAATTTCTACCAAAAAATGTATATATATTGCTACAGGTTTTATTACTGTGAAAAAAGAAACGCATACACAACATCTCACAGGAAAAATTATATTACAGTGACTACAACTTATTAATATTATGTTGGTTTTCTCTTGTTATTGCACGTGTTAATAATTTATTTGTATGACAGCCTGCCATGCTTCATTGCGTTATCACAAATAAAACAATTGACTCCAAGCACAACTTTGCAATATGCTTACAAAATTTTAAAAAACTATTTTTTTTTTAAATACTTTTTTAATAAAGGGTGAAAATGCCAATTTTTTCTACAGCAGACATACATAATAATACTAAATAAAAGCAACTAAAATTGTTTTTATTTAGTATTTTTAAATAGTATTAAATAAGTATTTTATTTAGTATTATTTAATAAAAAAGTATTATTTATCATATATTTATGTATGAGAGAGCCGATCTAAGTGATTTTTGTTAGCAGAGGTGCCATCATGCTTTTAATGTCATTATATCGCTAAACTTACATTACGAAGCAGAAAAATATCTAAGCAGTGCTGCTGATTTAAAGGTCCCTTTTGAATGAACTGTTAACATCATTACGGGATGCATAACATCTGCATTTTCAAGCCCATCTGTATTTTACATTATATACACATGACCCCTAACATCCTGTTTACCATACAACTAATATTGCTAGGAGTTCACTGCACTTGTTCTTGCAAATCTGTGGCTGGGCTAGATTGCATTTGTTGGAAGAAAAATAGTATAACACTCTTAAACTACACCACCAAATAAAACAGGTCTAGCCTATTTACTAGAAAGTCTCACTCACTGGAAGATTCATGGCCTTTCATTCACACACTGCTTTGCAGGTAGTGCTTTCCAGTTTATGTACGCATCAGAATCACATTGAGCTCAGCAATGATGTAATATCAAGTCATGTTACCCACTGACCTGTTTTCTGGGACTGCAATGATTCACAGCCAGACTGACATGATATTATCAAATCCAGGCCAGCATGCTCACAGTTTTTTAGGACAGCTTCTGTTTCAATGTGGTTTGTCCTGTTATATACTACTGTTCATCCTAAAAATGAATGAAATTACAAGTTAATAAGTAATCTAATGTTCATTACAAAACACTTTAAAACTTAGTATAGTGCATAGTACAGTGCAGTATTGAGATTTAGCATTTCACACACACAATTATGATACCCACAAATACATCCACAATTCTATTAGAAGTATCAAAGACGCCGTATTTTGTCTTCTTTGTCAAAGCTGAACTGGAGGACAAATCCTGTAACTCCTCTTTCATTCAAATGCTCACAAGGCTAATCCTTTCTATTTTAAGAATCAACCAGGCCACAGATTACCCACAACACGTCTACATTTGTATTAATACCAAGCTGAGTATTTGATATAAAGTTGCAGACTAAGAGAAATAGGTTGAGTCCTGAATTAAATTTTAACGTTTAAATAAATCTGCCTTTGAATTTTGTTAATAGTTCAACTGTATTTCTTGGTGACAGTGCTACAAAACATAAAAAAGTGAAAATGCAATTATTACCTTACAGGAACATTGAACATTAAAATTATTTACTCACCCTCATGTCATTCCACATTCCACGTATGTTGTTTTTTATTTGTTTTATTTTTTACATGAAACACTAAAGGACCCCAAAAAGATTCCAAAAAGCATAAAAAAGCACTAAAATAATTTTGAACAGAAGCAGCTTCTGACAGTAAATTACAGAAGGGCAGATTTTGGGTCTTAGCACCTGGTTTATGATACGCATTTAGTAAGATTGTCTAATCACTGACACTTTTGGCAGAGGTGTAACGTCCTTGCATTATTCACCCTGAAAAGGGTGCTCTAATGTTGATTGCCAGGCTTTAAAGGGTTAGTTCACCTAAAAATGACAATTCTGTCATTAATTACTCACCCTCATGTTGACCCAAACCCGTAAGATGTTCGTTCATCTTCGTAACACAAATCAAGTTGTTTTTGATGAAATCCGAGTTTCTGAAAAAAAAAATATGGGGTAAGTTGTAACATTTGCACTTCTGTCACTTTCAGTACAACAAATGGTAGGTCCTAGAATAAAACTTTAAGTGTCCATTTGTAGCAGAGATGTGTATGTTGTGTAAAAGAAAAGTTGTACCTAACTTTTTAATAATTGAGCCAAAACCAAAATGTGTTAGGTTGTGCCCCGCTCTCCCCTACCCAAAAGAAGTTCTGCTCTCTGCTTGTTTCCATGGCTCTAGTGGCACCAAATGGAACTGAAAAAGGTCATCTGGGTACTTTTTGACTATTTTATGAGTACTATAAATTCGGACAAACATCTTTCATCACAGACTGTTTTTCACCTGTACTATATAGTATGGAAGTATGTGATTTCGGATGCAGCTTGAGTCACATTCACTAACTCTGAATATGCACAAATGTGTAACTTTTTATCCTAAAATTTATTAAATATGATCAACCGCAACCATATGTGGAAAAACGTATTCTAGGTGTCCTGTTTATTGTTTGAACTAGTTTTAAGGTTCTTTTAGAGAGCACAGTACAGTATGTTTTTGGAGAGTGGCAAAAGGCTATAGGAAAGATTGTGTGGAAAGCCCTTACATGAAGATGGTTTGGACATGTTTTATGCTGATTATTATTAACATTGGGCATTCAGGTTGCCTGATTTAGAATTTTCCAAATTCATTAACATTAGAACGAGGTTAAGAACAACTTGTGCTGTGAATTAGATGGAAATATTTAGTGACAAATGTAACTATTGGTTGTCTCTATAGTTGGGATTCTCAAACAGAGCAATGTTTTGATAAGTGGCACAGAGCCATTACATTTGCACTTCAAGGGAATTAACCTACCAAAACCAAAATCTTGGTAAAAAGTGGTTATTCTGTATTATTATTATTATTATTTTCAGTTAGAACTGATAAGGCTGGGTAGACACTATCGTTAAATCAATTTTAGTCAATCTTCTTTGATGAACCAACATCAATCCTTAAATCTCAAAATCTATATTTTAGTGCAAGCGGCACATGCACTGTAAAAAAAGTTGCAAAGTATTTTGAGACTGTTTTCCTCAAATGTATCAACTACTAGTAAAAGTTTCCTGGCCAGGGTGGAAACTTCTTCACTGTATTGTCTCATGTGTGTGTTGACTCTACAGACTGGACTAATAGTGGCGTGCTACCAAGGGTATGTGGATGTTGTGATTGCTCTTTCCCAGTGTCCTCACCTGGATGTGAACTGGCAGGACAATGAGGGAAATACAGCCCTCATCACAGCTGCCCAGGCGGGTAAGAACCATCTAACAGCCTTCAATCCAATCCTGACATATTTACATTTATATTGCCATCATAAAGTTTAAACAACTTGTTTCTCAACATTCAAAATAAATGGAGAGTAAAACTTCAAAACACTACTATAACTGAACTGTCGAGTGCCCTATAAAGGTTATGTATTCAACAGTTGACTGCATTTCCATAATTCACCTGAACAATTGCAGGTCACATCACAATCTCTAACTACCTTCTCAACTACTTTCCCGGGCTTGACATCGAGAAGAGGAACTGCCACGGTTTCACCGCTCTGATGAAAGCTGCTATGCAGGGTCGAGTGGAATGTGTCAAAGCCCTGATGCTGGCAGGTACTCGAGCCTCAGATCACTGTGAAAAAGAACTGCCAGGAAACTGCAATATAAACCAGCTGTTACACGATTAGCTACAAGACAAGGATACAATACAGCCATAATCATACCACAGATTTAGTATTTTGTCATTTGCTATTTCTTTTGCCATTCTGAATCGATATGCTGCTATTTTGATTGGAAATAAGCAAACAAAGTGTTATGCAGCTCTTGCACCATGCAAACTAAAAGCACAAAAGTGCATTTCTCTCTAAGGTGTGTTAACTACTGTGTTCACTATTGCAGGCGACACAGACACTACTAAACAATAAAAATGTCTCCTTGCTATATTTGAAACATTCATAAGCATTACTTTTGCCGGTTCCTTGTGACAGCTTTTGCGTCATTGGCATCGTTTAAACACTCTCATTCCTGCGTAATAATCAAGAAACTTCACTGTCGTACCATGAGTGGAGCAGGCGAGATGACTACACAAACTTAGTCCCGGTCACATTGGAAGCTGGGCACTATTTTCAGGCGCTGCGTCATAACATTACACCTGCTGCACTCATGGTGCGACAGTGAAGTTTCCTGATTATTACGCAGGAATGAGAGTATAGTTCCTAGTCAGATCAGCCTAGAAAATCGCAACTTTACATTTTCCGTCTGTCTTAGTGCACGATGTAACTATAGAAGAGTCAAGTTTTAAATAGGAAAAATATCGAAACACTTTGGTAATTTTTTTGGGAGAAATGCTAATGGTCTTGTGCACTTCAATGATGTATGCTAAGCTATGCTAAAAGTGGTACCGCCAGAACCGGAGATCGGCTGAATGGATTCAAAAAAGGTAAAACTCAACAGTTAAACTCTGTGGGAGTTGGAAAATGAGCGTATTTCCCAAAAAAGTGGAGTATCCCTTTAAGTTCCGTGCTAGTCTCACGATGGGGATCTTAGATTTACGCCGGGCACTGGTTAGACTGGTAACCCCATTCGTTGTCATCCAACGTAACTCGGAGTGACAATGAAAGGGAACGTCTCAATTACGTATGTAACCCTCGTTCCCTGAGTAGGGAACAGAGACGTTATGTCTGCCTGCCACTTCCGCTGTGCCGCGGGAAAAAAAATAACCAATGAGAGTGAGTAATTACTTTTTTGGCTAAAACCGAAATGTTATTTAGTAGAATATTGTAAATGTGCCGTAACTCCAATCACATCAGTGCATTTACTTTTTCATCAGGGGCTGATCTGGAAGCCAGGGACAATGGGAGGAAGTTCACTGCGCGAGAGTGGGCCATCTTCACAAGCCGCTACGAGACCGTCTTTGCCATGATGCGGCTGATGCATCAGCCGTGTGCGGACCAGTTCTGTGACGCCTATCGGCCAGAGTGGCCCCTTCTGTCCGCATTGGTGGCCAAAGCTCAGGCGCCCAAAGGATGCATCCGTAAAATTTCAGAGACACTACGTGACTTCTTTGACATAAGGAACGTCACGGAGGCTTCAGAGGACGGGGTTCTGGATCACATGGTGCGCATGACAACAGCACTGAGCAGTCCGTTCATCGCAACGGCGTGTCGAACGGTGTGTCCGGACAGCCCGCCTTGCGTGGGAAAACGACGTTATTCAGTTCAGGAGATCCTGAAGAAACAACGCATCGCACAGCTGAAAGGTCTGGGACCCGAGCGCCTCGAGAACTACAAACGTCTTTTCCAGAACTCCCGCGTCCTGCTGGTGCCCAAACCCAAAGATCGCCGTGCGAGTCTGCAGGCCCAAACGGACATCTCTTCGTCCTCTCAAGTCATCCGCAGGACCAGTCTGCTCCCCTTAAACATGCTGAGGAGGAGCAGCGTCAGACCAGGTATGGTGGTGCCCAAGCTGAGGATTAGCAAGGCTCCTACGCCAACCTACGTGCCGGAGAAAGTGCGGCGGAAAAGCAGCTTTGTAGAAGACCAGTTCCTTCAGATCCCCAAGTGGAGATATAAAGAACTTAAAGAGGAGAGAAAGAAAGCAGAGGAGGCGGAAAGGAAAAGACTGGAGGCCATAACAAAAAGACAGCTCTCTACTGGCAAAAGGAAATAAGTGTGTGCAAACTCAACATTTGATACTTGAAATTCATTCCTGATATTGGATGGAAACGTATTTTACTATTTATTGTTTTTTTAGTTATTTTTTTGTAATGGTAAATGCTTCTAAACTATTTTTACCCTCTTCAAAATGGGGGTAAAGTTATTGACTTAAAGAAGCTCCTTTAATATTTTTGCAGGTTTATGAGCAACAGGAAGCTAGCCAAACCAGATCAGCTATATGGGTACACTACTAAAACAAGATGCTACTGTGTGTTTACATCCTTAAAATAGGACCAAATGCTAGCATTGGCTCAGATTTGTCAGTATTTAATCATCATGAATGTACTTAACAAAATACATTTTTAATACCTCATTTTTGAAAGTATTTTTCTAAACATTGTAGGAGACAAATAGTCAGACAATCGCCAGCAAATAATGAAAGACGGAGTAGTGTAGTATCACGGATCAGCATCTTGTTTGATATTTTCTATACATGTATTTTACTACGTTTTATACTACTAAAGCACAGTTTGTCGCCCCTATAAATTTGCACACTAAATGACTAGCCTTTGCCAGTAATTAGCAGGGACCTGCTTGTGATGATGAGATCCACTTGAAAAATGGCTAAACAGGTAAAATGAACGGCAAAGCAAATTTACTCATGTTTAAAAATCATATAAACTACTGTTAAAAAACTTGGCATAACAGATTTCTTTTTAAAAGAAATACATTTTTTTTCTCACATTAAATTGATCAAAAGTGATAGTAAAGAAATTTAATAATGTTATAAGTTTTGTATTTGTAACACTGTTTACACAAAAATATTGGACAAATGTTAAAACATTGATAATCATAGGAAATCTGACAATGAAGGATGCAATAATGGCTTTATTCACAAGAATAAATTACATTTTAAATTAAATTAGAAAACAGTTATTTTAATTTTCACTAGATTACTGTTTACTGTATTGTTGATCAAATAAATGCAGCATAGATGATCATTAGCCTTTTATTTATTTATTTTTTAACAGTAATGAATCTTGGCAAACTAGTAGTTTAAAAAATCAAGTCAATTATTTAGCAAAAGAGTAGCCATCAATTATTAAGTTGAAAGGTTTTTCCTAAAAAGATAGCTTTGGGGTAAGCTGTGCCAGAGGTTCAACTAACAGTGACACTGAAATTTACCCTCAAATCCAGAAAATACCGTTTTATTTTATACTGAATATTTAATATTATGCCAGCTATTATGAAAATGCAAATAAGGTGCAGCAAAATACTTGCAAAATGCAAACATTAGCAAACTATTCCCCAATTTGAACTTGACATGACACAACTTACCCCCAACATGGGCAAATGCTTTGGGATGGGGATTTTTTAAAAGGCCTTATAAACACTTTCTAACAATTTCAGTTTATAGGATCCATCCTGAAATATATATTAAGTAAAAAGTGGCACAACTTACCCCGCTCTTCTTCAGATCCAGGAACACTAAAACCAAATTCAACAACAAATCTCAGGTATGAACGGTTCTGTATGCAGAATGATAACTTTTTTTAAATGAAAGTATATGGAGTGATATCTGTTTGAAATGTCTTCTCACTGACCGTCTCGTCATCTCTACCGCACCACTGTGCCTCGGACTACACAAAACAAACACACACTACTCATTTTATATGGAAGTCAAAACCTACCAGTGCTGACGTTATGTCAGGTAACCCTGTTATTGTAAAACAGTGCTGTTTACACTATTTTAGGTTGTACTAAATAAACCAAAAGTGATGACCAGCAATACCTGGAATAAGAGTGTCATTGTAACTGGAATAAAACACAGCTGCTTTGTAATACTATAAAGTGTGACATCATTTTGTTGAACTTTAAGCAGGTGTAAAGGTGAAGCACTGACCTTATTAAGCTATTGAGGTCACCGGTATGAGCTGATAGACGCTGAGGTACTTATCTATCTGCAAGGTCAGCGCTTGCTCAGGAAAATGAAGCACCCTCTGCTGGAGAACCAAAGCACTGACATGTGATCTGCAGCAGGACTGATAGCCGATCAAAGACAAATACCCTGAGAGGACCTGAATGTCAGATAGACCCCAGGGTTTGGGTCACTCTGAACTGGCTTCAAAGTCACAGCTCAATTTTCAGATAGCACGCGATGGAAAAGTACAACCTTGACCTGAAACATGACATTTCGTAAGGGTTTAGCCGCCATTCAAGCTTTTGAGTTTCACCTTGAGGTTTGGCCAGCTGGTGTGCTAATGGCATGTGCCACAGAAGTCTTGCTGTTTCGGGCCCAGAACACGCCGTGGGATCAACCCGTAGCCTGCGGCAGCTGCTGACTCTTATCGCACCTGAGCGGAACACAAAGTCAATGGATAGGGATAGCAAAAGAGCAGGAGAAGACGAGATAATGAAAGAGAGGAAGAGGAGGAAGCAAATCCTGAGTGGCATTGGGAAGAGAACAGGAAGCCGTCAGGGCTTTGCCACCCTCAACTCCTCTATAGACCATGAAAACTAGGCCATGGGATTACACACAAATTTTTCCTGCTGTTCTCATTAATAATATTCAATAGGACAAAACAGACATGGCAATTGTTTGATTTTTTTATTACAGTGCTTGCAATGCAAGTATTGAAATCCCTCTACTTTTTACTTGCCACAAATTCAGTTTATTCAGCTCAAACCACTGTCATAAACATAGACAACTAAAACGGCATTAATTTGATCAATTCTTTCTTGTAACTACTACCTTCTACTGATTATTTTTCTTCTGGAAATGCAATTCTAACAAGAGTACTGAAATCCCTCTACTTTTTATTCTTCGCAAATTTCCCCAAAATGTATAAGAAGTAAATGTGTGTGCATGTGTAATATATATATATATATATACACACACATACACATACTGACTGGAATCGATGATCACACTATTCATATACTGTCTCGCAAGCACTATTTTTTTTAAGGATATGCAATTCTAGCATATGAATGTTTTTTAAACGCAAACAAACTGTCCTTTTTACTCTCCATAACAACTTTTAGCAATTCATTTAAATTGAACCACGTAAAATTATTTTGTAGATGATTTCAGCTTTACATGTCACTACCTATTTGTAAAAGCATTGATATTTGCATCAGGTAATGGAATTGTAGCAATGAATTTGTTTTTAAGAGCAAAAAGCCGTGCATGGTTTTATATTAACTCTTTATTTAGATAACCACACCTAGTACCTAATGCCTAATATACAACATTCACCGAGTTCAAAAAAATGATTTATACAATTTACATCTCTCTGGAACTATTCATGTAAAACAAAATTAAAACACAGTTCCACATATCCCTCATGAAATGAACCCACGGAATTAGCATGTTTCTGATTAGTGATTGGCAATGGAGCCTTTAGTGTTGCAATGATTTACAGGCTAGAGAGATAGGAACGTTTGTCATGATACTGGTCGAAACAGGACGCTTGCAGGCACATACGGAATGGGGGGGGGCGTACGGAATGCTTGATGGCAAAAGATCCCTGGGAACCTGAGCAGGTGTTTGGGGTGGTGTGGTCCTGGCCCCGTGCCCGTGGTGGTCTACAGCTGGGTTAAGGCCTCACTTCCGAGGCTGGTGGATGTGCTGGTTGATGTGATGAGGCCCAGGAAGCTTCTGTACCGAAGGCACAGGTTTCTGATGGGCCACCTGGGCAGCAGCAGGGGTGAAGTCTTTATCTCCCTGAGAAGGACAAAAAATAATAACAGCCAATTATAATGTGTCCCTATGATAAGTGACATGACAAATGATCTGGTGCAGTGAATAACACTGAAAATTATACAACACTCAGTCCTGGTCCTCTCATCTGATTGGCCGAGATGTGTTCCAAGAGTGCTATCTATTGTAACAGCACTGTGATGTTTTCCAGGGGTATCATTGTTAATAAAACTATTACATTTTGTTTTGTTATTTGAAATAAAGCTTAAATAAAATAAAATACAAATATTAGTCAAAATCCTTAAACTAAATTAAAATTAGAAATGTTTAATTGAAATTAAAGTTGTAGCACTAAAATTATGAACTGGACATAAAAACAAACTAAACTTAAATAACAAAAAAAAAAAATTACTAAAGTCAACCAAAATTAAACAGAAAGACGATAAATTATGGATTACTTCCCTCAACTGAGAATTCAGATGTGCACTGTTCGTCATGATGGTTTTAAATGACTTGAAATATGAATAGAATTACTATTTTTTTGGTAAGGAACTTTCCATAGGAGTGTGAAATATTAAACTTACACAGGTTCAAACTAGGCTAATGCTCTTTTTTATGTAATTTATGTTGAAGTGCTTGGGTGGCTTTTAAATGGTAAGACTTTTGTTTTTGTAATCAGGCTCTCAAAAAATTATATAACAATGTGGATTTAGATTTATTAGCCAATACATCGGCTTTTGATAAGAGACTGAGATCTCTTTGCCCTTGTTTCATGTCTATTAACATGAAAAGGAAAGCAGCACAGAAGCATCTGACAAAAATCCCATATTGCACGAAAGCAGCAGACATTCTCCAACATCACTTTAATCTGTATGAGAGAGTCTTTCAGAGCAAGCTTTTGAAGTAGATTACGGGGTGGACAGTCCAACACAGTGTAACAAGTCAAGACTGAACACAAGCGTGGCATTTTTCTATTTTCTGTCTGTTTACTCGCTTGCTGGAGGACTAAAAGAGCCTCAGATGTGAGTATTTAGAGAAGAAATGTTGCAAAAATTGTGTCACTAGAAGCCGTTTAGATGACTTCAAAAGTAAAAGGAGGCCAATGGCCCAGTAAAAGGGCTCCATGTGCATCGTGACGTCCTCTAGGGTCCCTCGCAATGGCCTGTGACATATGTACTCAAACACATCACACATCTCGAGCATGTTTACACAGAGGACCCTATATAATTAAATGGCAAACTCTCTCAAAACGCTGCACGCTCATCCTGGTAAGCATGCACAGATTTGTCACATCAAAACATAATAAATCCTGAGACACGGCCAGTCCCATGGCGGCAGAATGGATTAAGGTCAGCTTGGGCTGGGAACAACCAGAGTGAACTCTATGTGACGAGCCATTCAACAAACCCCATACAGAGTCTCCAGCATATCGGACTATTGATATGATCTCAATAAGTGATGCAAGGCTAAAACGGCTTTTATCGGAGCAAACTATGTCTCAGGAGCCTCAGGCTAGGATTTCATGAGGACAAACTTTGGGGATTTTAGATACGAGTAGGTTTAAAATGAATTTGGCTCTGCTTTCACACCAGATGTAAATATTTTTTGCAGGGAAATGTTTGATTATAAATAAGGCAATTCTATGGTCATATTCAAAATGAGTATAAACATTTACAAGCAAACAATTCGACAGTTTTTATGTGTACAGCAGTCCAAAATGTCTTTGGACAAGGAAAATTGACTGAAAAATTAGAATAAAATACCGGTAAGTACATAAACCTGGAGCAGCATTTCAATGCAATTTTTTACGCAACGCAAATTTAACGCAATAAATAAATACTATATCATACCTTCACATTTTATCCATTTATATTTCATCAAATTATATATATATATAGGATATATTTTATTTATGCACATTAATGCATATTTATATTTCAGTCCCTTGTGTTAAATTATTCTGAGATTAAAACGTTCAACTGTTTATTTATTTATTTGGTACTTATTTGGATTTAACATGAATCACAACAGCTTGCTTGATCTGTGTTTCTCTCATGAAGCTGTTAGACCATCTTTTCCTCTCTCTACTCTGTCAGCAGACCAGATTGTGAATTTTCACATCACTATCACATATCACACATTCAGGAATCTGTCTTTGGTGTGAATAGACCTTTATGAAACAATTTATCTCACATTTGCTATGAACAGGTAGCCTGGGAAAACCCAGACAACTTCCGGCAAATTTAGATTTGCTCTGAAAATTAGTCTGGCAAAGAGCTCATTCAAGCCCATTTCCAATCCGTCGAAATCACGGCACCAATCAGAAACGTTGGGGCGGGCTTTACACAATGATAACAGATTTTGAAGCAGATTTTGTAGTCTACATTACAAAGATGGATGCCGCTGTCGAACATCTCTCATTCGAATCAGCAATCACATCTGTTTTAAGCGATTTGAACGTTTCCTTTTTGTTACGTTGTTTCTCGCCGGCTGCCGCTCTGAATACGTCATCTCTTTCATCGCTCTGATTGGTTTTAGGTCTACCCGCGACGTCCGTTGGTGACGCCCCTCTGGAAATGATTCGTCTATGACGCTTTGCCTCAGTTACAACTGAGAATGGTCTGGTTTTATTCAAGCTAATGAACAGGCCTAGTTTCTATAAGCCATTTAAACTGTTGGACCAGGAATAATTTGGCCTTTGCTTTAGATTTTATGATGTCAATGGACATGTGTACCAACCTTAGTGACGACTCCCGAGACCACAACATGCATCTTTGGTGGGCTAAAGATTGGAAAAAAAGAAAAAAAAGAAGAGAAGACCACAGTTACAAACAGAAAGCAACGTCTCTTATACAAACAACCAAAAAAACATTTAAATATATATGCTAGTTAATGAAGCACAAGCAAAACAGATAACAGTGTTTGTGAAGCAAATCATTCTCTTTTCATGACAAACAGCAACTGATCGTAAATAAGCCTGTGTTTTAATCAGTCTCTGATTTTTTTAAGGATCATTAATTTTCCACAGGGAATGTGTGAAGGAGAACACAAACAACTCTCTAGTCTGGTAATGAATGAACCACTCATATTTCAGAAGGGTGAAAAACCCTCCGTGGGTTTCAGCCAGATTCGGCTCAATAGTGCTGCCTTGTGTCCAGGAATGTATGCAGAAGGTGAAGGCCAACATTTGACCAGAGAACTTGTTTGTGCTTGCAGGTAAGAGTATTAGTGAAATGAGATGAACTTATAAACCAATTAAAAGCAAAAGGTTCATACAGATGTAACTTTAGACAGCAGCTAGTGAGACAGAAAAAATTATATATATGAGTCAATATTTTTAAATTAATTAATAATATGTAGATAATTATTAACATATAATAAATATGTACCAACTAAGGCTTTACCAGCACCATCCATAATTGGGTAATTTATAAATTGATCAATGCCGAGCTGACAGCAGTTTGTCGGGCTGTGTGTGATGAAAGCGTGAGGCCTGAACTGATTAGCTGAAGGTCAACAGCCAGCTTCATTATGGGTGCAGGAGCTCGGAGTCAAATTGAGCTCAATCAAAGATCTGACGTGTCTGTCAGCAAACGCCCTCTACTCCAGAAAGCCTATTTTCTATGTCCGGACACGCATCTGATCAGGTGCATGGAGGGAATTCTAATGCAACAAATTAGCTACAGCGCTGATGGAAACACCATCATATAGATCTCACAATCAGCATGTGTGATCGAAATTCACCAGGCCACCAATTACAGTGGGATTAGCATGATAGTTCTAATTGTAGCATAACATGGTCTACAATACTACTGATGAGTGAAACAAGATAATGAACACGATATTGCCTAAACAGCCATTTGCATATGTGACATTGATGATGTAAACTAACAGACAGAAGGGACTCGTACTGTTTTCGCCAAAAGAGCAACCCCGCTATGTCGCATACCGCTCTAACAGAGACGTTATAACATTTTTTTTAACAATTTATTTTTGGCACTGGCCCACCAAATGTGATCGACACTCGGGACAGTTAACGGGCCAGTGCTGCATCATCAAAAAAGCTTAGAGTTCTCTTTCACGTCGTCTTGTGCTTGAAATGATATACTCAAACAAAATTAAAACTGCAATCCATAGCTTTTTTTGGGTTAGAAATTACCCATAATACATATTTGAGAAAATACATAAGCAGCCAGTGTTTAAAACTATCTGCTTGCTGTAGCTCGATTCAAAGCGGTAAGCTTGTAATAATGTTTTTAATTCCAGTGGTACTGGTGGATTTCCGCGGGAGATTCGAGCATGTCTTTGCATCATTACGTCACATCTGTACACATAAGGAAGAAGTCTCGGCTAGTAGGCTATATTGTGAGTGAGGATGTTGGAGGTGGAGATTTATAGCCTTTTCTCACAACACTTCATATGGTTAAACTTATCAATTTGATTAGGGATTCAGAAAGGTTCAAAAGACTTTGTTCGGACTTTGGATTGGCTACAGAAAAAAAGAGACTGCAACAGGACCCATGTGAAAACAAGGATACATATCGGAAGGACATTACATGTAGTCACGCAATGCTGACGTTGTTAACATTATCAATTTGAGAAAGTATAATTTGCACGGTTTTGCCTGATATGATAACTTTGGTTTAATCAGCGCTATTTACTGCAGAATCAGAGCAAATGTGGATGTTTCTTAGTTCAGATGACATTTTCCATTGAAAATTCTTATGTTGGTCATACTTCCAAAAAGAATAATCTGTGATTCGGAAAGCCAGTATCCGTGTCAAGGGTGTTGAACAACTCGCATAAAGTTAATAATTACGCTAATGACTGCAATTGCAGATTTCGAACGGAAATAGGGACAAAGAGGAAAAACACCAGACAGCAGCTTTAAGTCACAATGCATATCTTGGCAAGTATCCTTGAAAACAGTCAGTTATGACTGGTAAAAAATATTTAAGCCTGCAATTTTTTTTAAGTCACTGGCCATACGCAGGTGTGGCAATGATTTAGTTTTTGGCACTGCATATACAATGATAGTCAATGGGGTCCAATGTCATTGACTTTCAATGTATGAACCCTCTACAGGAGCAATAAAGACAAACAGGTCCAGAGCTAAATGACTTGAAAATTTGAACTCTCTCTTTAAGCCCTGGTCACTTCTCAAGGCCTGCATGAATATGCATGTGTGGAAAGTAGGGGGAGTAAATGGAGGGGTCTGATGTAAAACCAGGTGCTCCAGGCAGTTGGTGAGGTACAAAATGGCCTATAAAGATTCCAGAGGGACAGGGAATTTACCGCCACCATATGAGCACAGAGCAGAAACATAGCTCCGAGCATGTGGAAGCCGTCAGCCTCAGAAATGACTCTCATTCATTTTCCAAAGCCAAGCGTTTCCCTTAAAGCACTAACTCAAAAGTGAAGGTCAAAAGTGATAATTGACCTTGACAGGAAAAACAACTCAATTTTCCAGTAGCCCTTCTCAAATACTACACCGTCTGTAGTACATTACACCACCAGTCGCACACTGCAGAAAACCGAGCTGTAAAGGTATGGAGGTATTTTTGGTGCAAAATGCACCTGTGCCGCGCCTCCGTGTTGTGATTATTGTATGCAATATATTTACTTCTTATTTATTAAATCCAGGTAATTGGTTGATAAAACGTTAATTTAAAATTAAGATAAAATTACTACAAAATGAAATTCACTTTAGAGAAAGGCTTTGTGCTTTTTTTGTTTGAGGTTTCTGTGAAAGTTTTAGTACCGCTTCCAGAGAACTGTCACGTCCATAACATTGTTTTTTCCTCATAAATGTGAACACGAAAAACTAAATTGAGTAATTTATGTTTTGGGAGAACCAACCCTTCTTCATCCGGTGTTACTTTTGGTAATCTGTTAGTATGTAAGAGCCAACAACGCATCAAAGATGCTCGCAGACGCGTCGCCGAGCCCAGAAAAAGATCTAGCATGCTAGATATCCACAGCTGTCACATGACTCAACCTACAGCCAATCAGAGCGAGGTATGGGTTTAAGGTCAGAACCGCACAGTTCAGCCCGACGTTTTGTAGCATGAACAAGGCTTAAGCAACTCTTCTCTCTGTGACTTCAAATTTAGTGATACACATGTGTGGCTGGCTATTCTCTACAACTACAAATTCCACTGTCACAGGCGTTCAGTTGTTTTGCACCACAAATACCTCCATGAAATGAGACAATTCAATTGCTATCACAGCATGAGACACATCCTGATGTCTCACCATATTAAAGGCTGAACATAAATGAGGGCATTGTGAGAAGTGTGGGACTTCTTCTGTAATGCTGTGAAATCTAGAATATGTCAGAAGTTTGTGGCTTTCATCTTGCTGTGAAGAGGAGGAAACTCCAAAGATACAACACAGTGAGAGAGAAAGAGAGACTTGCCACAGGGATAATCTCCCTTTGAGGCATAACAGTGCTGCTCAACCCATCTCATAACTTCCTGAGACATCTGTTATAATCTCAGATTAAACAAACACTCCTTTTAAGGGCACAAATCATATAAATCTTATAAAGCCCTATTTGGGGCTTAAAAAAAGGTGAGATTTTGGTATAAAAGCTCAAGTTATTGAAATCATAGTGTAAATTAATAATAAAAAAAAAAAAAGGAAATAGGATTATATCTCTCCCTACAGAGGTCATTCACAACCTTATGTGTTGGGATATAATTATTAACCCCCTATGCTTTGAACTACATGTGTAGCTAAAGATTTATCATACAAAAAATGTTGATCAGGAGCATGTTTTAGCCACATTTCTTTTTTTAAATTCCATTCTACACCTGAGGATGGCAGCGGTGTGCTTGTTTTCAAATGAGGAAATCAGGCCAGAGATGTTGCAAGTACACTAACTACAGTGCCTAATTAGTAAAAATCATTGATTAGAAAAATACATTGCAGGGTAAATATCAAGATCAAAAACTCTTTAGAAGATTTAATTGTTAATCTTAATGGTGTGGGGGATGTTTTCTTGGCACACTTTAGGCCCCTTAGTGCCAAATTTAGAACCATTCCAAACTGGTTTCTAGAACATGACAATGAGATCGCTGTACTAAAATGACCCCCACAGTCACCAGATCTCAACCCAATAGAGCATCTTTGGGAAGTGGTGGAACAGGAGCTTCATGCCCTGGATGTGCATCCCACAAATCTCCATCAACTGCGAGATGCTATCCTATCAATATGGGCCAACATTTCTAAAGAATACTTTCAGCACCTTGTTGAATTAATTCCACATAGAATTAAAGCTGTTCTGAAGGTGAAAGGGGGTCAAACACAGTATAAGCATGGTGTTCCTAATAATCCTTTAGGTGAGTGTGTGTGTGTGTATGTGTATATATATACATGTAGAGGGAGTGGTTTTGGCCTGATGGATATTCTGTGTAGAAAGAGAATGAACTGCTATGGTATAACCCAAGCTCAGCTTCAGGAGCAAAGGCGATTGCTGCAAAAGTCGGCACAGACGCTCACAGTTTGCTGTCGTCATGGCAACCACATGGCATAACTTTTATTTACTGATGAGCTAAATCAGGAGGAAAAAGCAAAATCCACTTGTCTAGCTGATGGAATGCAAAAGTTGAACCGCACCTGAAGCTCCATGCTTAGCTTCTGCTGCAAAAACAGGACTGAGAATCAACATCAACAGAATACAAATACAGGGTGGACGGAGGAATGCATCTGCTCCTTTTTTACATATTTCACACCAATTTGGGTTTTACGCAAAACAGAGCTCAGAGTACACACTTATTG